CCTCCTCCTCCTCCTCCTCCTCCTCCTCCTCCTCCTCCTTCTCCACCTCAAGTGATAACCCGCATCCCACTAAGTCGGGTTGCGCAGGTCTCTTTGCCAGGTTTCATGGTGTGAGTCGAGCAACTCATTTGAACTCCCCGCGCATTGCTCATTGCTCATTGCTCCTCCTCCTCCTCCTCCTCCTCCTCCTCCTCCTCCTCCTCCTCGGGCCCCCCCCTGGTTGGCGCCCCTGGAGCCGCCCCTGGCTCGCTCCGCGCGCCGAGGGGGGGGGGCTCCAGCGCCGAGCCGAGTAATCCGCGCGGACCTCTGGAGGTTTCTGCCGATGCCGATGTGTGTTCATGCTCTCACCGGGGGCTTCTCGGAGATAGTTTTGGGGCATCCTGGGGGCTGTTTGGGAGGGTTCCTGGGAGGCTCTTTTCCCAGTTCGTCCCATAACTTGGGGGCCTCCTGCTGGCCTCTCGGGTCGTCGGGGAGCGATCTGTGGGGCCTCTTGAGCCGTCTTGGAGCGTCGGAAAGCCGGAACGGCGAGAGGGCCCCAAACCGTCGAACACCTGCGGTGAGCATGCCGCTTGCCTCTTGGGGCCCTCCCGGGACGCCTCGTGGAGCACCCTCGGGGCGTCTTGGGGGCCCCGCGGGCCGGTTCGAGGTTCTCTTGGGCGTGCTGGGGCGCCCCTGTGGGCCGCCTCGAGGGCCCCCCTGGGGGCCGCCTCGAGGGCCTCTCTCTCTTGGGGCCCTCCCCCTGGTGGGCCCGAAGAGAATTCGTCGCGCGACGACGCCTCTCTTGGAGCCCCCCCGGGGGGGGCACGCGCGGGGCCCCGGGAGGTGCGAGGATTGGGGGCAAAAGGGCCCCGAAGGAGGAGGAGGAGGAGGAGGAGGAGGAGAGGAGGAGGAGGAGGATGAGGAGGAGGGGGAGGAGGGGGAGGAGGAGGGGGAGGAGGGGGAGGAATGGGGAGGATGGGGAGGGAAGGGAGGATGGGGAGGGGAGGGAGGATGGGGAGAGGAGGAGGGGAGGGGAGGAGGAGCGGAGGAGGAGCGGAGGAGGAGGAGGAGGAGGAGGAGGAGGAGGAGGAGGAGGAGGAGGAGGAGGAGGAGGAGGAGAAGAAATAGCCCGGGGCGAAGGAGGAGGACGAGCGCCGCCAGCATCACGCTCGAAGTTTCGCCAGCGTCAAAAAGGAGGGGGCAGGAGAAGGATGGTGATGGTGATTGTGTTGCTGTTGATGGTGGTGATGGTGGCGATGCATGTGATGGTGATGGTGCTGGTGGTGGTGGTGGTGAGGATGATAGCGAGGAGGACAGGAAAGGGGCGCCCAAATAGTCTGGGGACGGTGGTCCCCAGACATGCTCACGTCGTTACAAAAAAATCCAGACGACAGGTTTTGTGGCGATTTTCGGCCCCGGGGGGTTCTCGCCGGGCCTCGGGACCATCGAAAAACGACTCAGGATGAAAAACCGGTCCCGGGGAAAGGGTCGGGACTTCCAGGGACGCCGTCCTGAAAAAATCAGGACGTCGCATGTCTGGGTTTGGACCCTTCCGGAATATTTTTGGTGTATTTGGGGGGTCTGTTTGATTTTCGTCCAAGGTCCGCCTGTAGGGGGCCCGGACCCCTAATAGAGACTCCCCAGAGGCTGACACCAACACCAATATCGGCGGTGTGCCTCCACCGGGGGAAGACAATCCCGATCTCGGCGATGGTGGCAATGATTCTGGTGTCCAGGGTGGCCGAGATCTGCCCACCAACACCGAAGTCTAGGATCATCTTCCCCCTGTGGAGGCAGACCCCCTGTGTTGGTGTTCGTGCCCATGTCCAGGCCTCCAATGGAGATTCGGCACAGGGCCCGAGGGCACGCCCACTGCGTGCCCAGGGCAGGGTGGCGGACAGGCCAGGGAGGAGCGGGAGGAGGAGCGGGAAGGGGGGCGGCGCGGGCGGGGGCGATCCGCGCCTGGCCCCTGCAGGCGTCTCGCTGCCTGCGGTGCGCAGACCGCTGGGCTTGAGTCGGGCCTGCCCCTCTGCAGGAGGGATATTCAAAAGCAGTCACAACATAGTCTGGGTACGATTTTTCGAGTTCGTTTTTTGGGGGGGGAGCATTTGGGATAGCTGGGACAATTTTCGGACAATTTCCGGGTATCTCGAAAACGGTCCAAACATAGTCGGGCATTGTGGGATAATTCGTTATGTTTCGTCGTAAATCCGCCTGTAGGGGGGACAGGCCCGACCTGACGCTGGCCGCCGCCGCTTGGCAGGCAACGGGCCGCCCCCCTGAGCTCGTCCTCGGCGGCCGCCACGCTCGGGCGTGGCCGGGGCATCCGGCACGGGCCGCACTCGCGCACGTCGGGGCTCAAAAGACGGGGCTCAGCCAGGGCACTGGATCCTGCAGGATCCTGCGACGAGCCCCTCTGGCTGACCCTGGTTAGCGAGCCGCTCGTGGCCGCGAGGCGGCCGCGCACATGGGCTGGCCCAGGTCTGCGAAGACCTGCGTTGCAGTTGTTTTTTCCTGCATTGCAGTTTTTCTGGTTTCCTGCCAACCCGGGTCAGAAGATCCCCGAGCACGGTACAGGCGCGCTCCGAGGTGCGCACGGCGCAGGTCGGCCTCCGCGCGGGAAGGGCGCCAGCACGCCATGGTCGAGTGAGGTCGAGCATCCAGTGTCTCGGCGTGATGCTGGCCCAGCGCCGCCGGCTCCGGGCAGCCTGTGCTGCGCGGCGCCGGAGAGGGGCGGGGAGAGGGGCCGAAAGGGATTTGCGCCCCCCACTTGCCCCTTCGCCTCTGCGCCCCTGCGCGCTTGCGCGCTCCTCTGCGCGCCTCCGCGTGCGTCTGCGGTGCGCTCGCGCGCGCCTCTGCGCCCCCACGCGCCTCTGCGTGCGTCTGCGGTGCCCTGCGCGCGCGCGAGACTGCGCGCGCCTCTGCGGGCCTGCGCGCGCCTCCTGCGCGCGAGCCTCTGCGCGGCTGCGCGCGTCTGCTCTGTGCGCCTCTGCGCGCCTCGGCGCGCCTCCGCGCGCGTCTGCTGCGCGCTTGCGCGCGTCTGCGCGCCTGCACGCCTACGGGCCTCTGCGCGCCTCTTCGCGCGTCTGCGCGTGCTGCGCTCGCCTCTGCACGCCTCCTCTGCGCCCCGCGCGCAACTGTGCGCGCCCAGGCTGCGCCCAGGCTGCACTCGCGTCTGCGCTGGCCTCTGCGCTTGCCTCTGCGCGCCTGCCTGCGCGCGTTTCCTCGGCGCGTTTCCTCTGCGCGCCTCCGCGCGCGTCTGTGGGGTGCTGCAGGTGGGCGGGGGGGGCAGAGGCCCTGGCGCGGGCGGTCCTTGCAGCGGCGGCCAAAGCTGGCCGCCGATCGGCGGGCCCACCGCGGCCGGGGCTCCCCGCCGGGATGGTGGGCGTGAGGAGGGCGGGCTGGGGGCGACAGCCTCAGGAGAAGGGGGGCAGCATCGACCCCCACTGACAGCTCGCCCCCGCCCAGGAGCGCGCGGATCTGCCTTCGGAAGCCGAATTCGCCGATCTATCGGCGATGCCCCAAAGCTGGCCGCCGATCGGCGGGCCCACCGCGGCTGGGGCTCCCCGCCAGGGTGGGGGGCCTGAGGAGGGCGGGCCAAGGGCGACAGCCTCAGGAGAAGGGGGCAGCATCGACCCCCACCGACAGCTCGCCCCCGCCCAGGAGCGCGCGGATCTGCCTTCGGAAGCTTGATTCGCCGATCTATCGGCGATGCACCGCCGACGAGCCATGTGCCCCGCCACAACTGCAACTCGGGCCTCCAGCGGCCGCGCGGGACGATCCGGGAGCCCCTGGGAGGCTCTCGGCGGGGCGCGGCCGCTGGAAGGCGCCCCGAGGCTGGACAGCCGCCGGGGGCCTGCCTCGGTGAACGCCTGGCCGCTCCGGGCTGCGCGGGGCCGGCTGCTCGGCGTCCGCGCTTCCACGAGCACGGCGCGGGGGGCAGGGCGAGGCGGCGCGGGCGAAGAGAGAGAGGGAGAGAAAGAGAGAGAGAGAGAGAGGCGGAGGAGGAGGAGGAGGCGGAGGAGGAGGAGGAGGGAAACTCTCCCGGGAAGGGAGGCCGACCCGTCGTGGCAGCTGGGCGACCTCCTCGCGGCGGTCCCCGAGCAGGAGGAGGCGGCCGGCCACAAACTACGCATCCTGTTCGGTGGGGCGGAGCTGTGCGGCGCCGCGACGCTGGGCGAGATCGGGGTCCAGGGCGGCAGCGAGCTGACCCTCGTGGTCACCAGGAGGCGCCGCATAGTGGCGTGCGACGGGGCGGTGGCGAAGGTCTGGGACGCCGACTCCGGGGAGTGCCTGCGCACCCTGGAGGGCCACGGGGCGACGTGAGGTCCGCCGTGTTCTCGGCGGACGGGCAGCGGGTGCTGACCGCCTCGGAGACCGGACGGCGAAGATCTGGGCCGCGGACTCCGGGGAGTGCCTGCGGACGCTGGAGGGCCACTGGAGCTACGTGACGTCCGCCGTGTTCTCGGCGGACGGGCAGCGGGTGCTGACCGCCTCGCAGGACGGGACGGCGAAGATCTGGGCCGCGGACTCTGGGGAGTGCCTGCGCACGCTGGAGGGCCACGAGGGCCCCGTCACGTCCGCCGTGTTCTCGGCGGACGGGCAGCGGGTGCTGACCGCCTCGAACGACCGGACGGCGAAGATCTGGGCCGCGGACTCCGGGGAGTGCCTGTGCACGCTGGAGGGCCACCAACACTACGTGAATTCCGCCGTGTTCTCGGCGGACGGGCAGCGGGTGCTGACCGCCTCGTGCGACCGGACGGCGAAGATCTGGGCCGCGGACTCCGGGCAGTGCCTGCGGACGCTGGAGGGCCACGGGGGCCCCGTGACGTCCGCCGTGTTCTCGGCGGACGGGCAGCGGGTGCTGACCGCCTCGGAGGACCGGACGGCGAAGATCTGGGCCGCGGACTCCGGGGCGTGCCTGCGCACGCTGGAGGGCCACCGGTTCCCCGTGAGGTCCGCCGTGTTCTCGGCGGACGGGCAGCGGGTGCTGACCGCCTCGCGGGACCAGACGGCGAAGTTCTGGGACGCCGACTCCGGGGAGTGCCTGCGCACGCTGGAGGGCGCCGGGGACAGGGCCTGCTTCGCGCCTTGATCGCCCGAGGGGCTGGCGGCGCCGAGCGGGGGCGCCGGCGGAGGCCTCTCCCCTCCGCCCGCCCTCCCTCTTCCTTTCCCATCCCTGCTCCCCCTCCGAGATGCCCCCAGCGCGGCCCTTCCTCCCCCTCCCTTTCCCGCCCCAGCTTCCCCCCGCCAAGATGCCCCTCTCCCTCCCTTGGCCCCCCCCCCCTCCCAGAGCCCTCCCCCTCCCAGAGCCCCCCCCTCCCATGCCCCCCCCTTCCATGCCCCCCCACTTCCTTGTTCCCTCCCTCCCCTGGCAGTCCCTGCAGGACAGGGCTGGGGGCGGGGTCGCCCCGCTCGGAATCCCCTCCTCCGCCTTCCCCGGGCCCTCCTGGTCCTCCCAACCCGTCCGCGTTGGTTCCTGCTGCTGTTGTTCGTCATCCTCCCTGTCCTCCCGCTCATCTTCCCCGCTCACCCACCAACTCCTCTTCCTCCTGTGGCGCGCAGCTTCCCGTTTCTTGATTGCGCATAACACGAAAGGGTCTTTCTGTGGGCGTCGCAGGTCAGCTATGACACGCGTCCGCGGATGGAGGAAGATCAGCGCCATGGGAGGGCATGGGAGGGAGAGACAGGATGTCAGATGAGGCGCGAGCGCACCTCGCTTGGCCCTTCCTCCCCTCTCCCTGTCCCGCCCCTGCTTCCCCCCCAAGCTGCCCCTCTCCCTCCCTTCGCCCCCTCCCCCCCTCCCACAGCCCTCCACCTCCCATGCCTCCCCAGACATGCGACCTGATTTTTTTCGGGGCGCCGGCCCCGGCCGGAAGTCCCGACCCTTTCCCCGAGACCGGTTTTTCGTCCCGAGTCGGTTTTTGACGGCCCCGAGGCCCAGCGAGGCCCAGCGAGGGCCCCGAGGCCCAGCGGCCTCGAGGGGCCCTCGCCGGGCCCTGGGACCGTCAAAAAAGGACTCAGGACGAGAAGCCGGTCCCGGGGAATGGGTCGAGATTTTTGGGGACTATGGAGAAAATCACAACATCGGATCTCTGGGAAACCAGCTTGGCCCTTCCTCTCTCTCTCTCCCCCTTTCCCGCCCCTGCTTCTCCCCCCAGGTTGCCCCTCTCCTTGCCCCGACTGCGGTGGGGGCGTCGGTTAAGGAACGCGCCCAGGATGCTGCAGACCCTGGCGGCTTCCTTGTCTGATGACGGCGGCGGTGAGATCCATGGCCAAGCCGCGCTTGGAATCCCACTGGCTTCCAGACCCTGGACTCCTTCTCTAGGGGCTCCTTGTCCACTGCCCTCACCGTGTATCCCAGACCTGCGACGTCCTGATTTTGTTCCGGCCGGCGCCCCCGGAAGTCCCGATCCTTTCCCCGGGGCCGGCCTGTCATCCCGAGTCGCTTCTTGACGGCCCAAGGGGCCCGGCGAGGGCCCCTCGAGGCCGAGATTTGCTGGGGCGCCTGGGAGGGCAAGTTGCCCGCCCCGGATCTCCAGCGAGCTGAGAAGCCCGGGGCCCAAGAGACGGGGGCCAATGCGAACGGGGGTCAGCCAGAGCGCCCTCCCCGGACCTCCCAGCGAGACGGGAGTCAATGCAAGCGGGATCGCGTCGTAACAAAAATCAGGACGACAGTTTTTCGCTGTTTTCGGCCCCTGGTGGGCCCGCGCCAGTCCCCAGGATTGTCAAATAACGATTCAGGATGAAAAACCGGTCCCGGGGAAAGGGTCTGGATTTCCGGGGACGCCGTCCTGAGAAAATCAGGACGTCGCATGTCCGAGAATGCAAACGGGGGTCAGCCAGAGCACCCGATTTTGCAGGATCCTGCAGGGCCAGGATCGCATTGTCCTGGGCTTGGGTGCAGGATCCTGCAGGGTCCTTCGCATTGACCCGGGTTTGGGTACAGGATCTTGCAGGATCTTGCAAGGCCTGGCTGACCCGGGTCTGGATTGACCCGGGCCAGAAGATCCCTGAGAAGCTCAAGGCGATTTTTTTGTTGTTGTTCTGTTGTTTCTTTTTTGTTTTGTATATAAGGGACCGTTTCCCCAGGACCGACCCCTCATCTTGAGCCGTTTCTTGGCGGCCCCGCGGCCTGGCGAGGGCCTCTTGAGGCCGTGACCGACGAAAAACCTTTGTCCTGATTTTTTCACGACGCGATCACGTCCCCAGAGATCCGATGTCGTTTTTTACCTAACAGCTTTTGCTGATAGTATTCTAGTATGGTCAAAAGAGAGCATCATGACTCCTCAGGAGGGTCTGGGCGGGTGCCGGGGAGGAGAACCGGGAATCGTTTTTCGCCAACAGTCACACACACACTTCGTGCTCTTCGACCTCCCAGAACTCCATTCCCGGGACACATTCTGGAGAACCGGGAACAGAGCCGGGCTCGCTTTTTGCCAACAGTCACACACTTCGTGCTCTTCGACCTCCCAGAACTCCATTCCCGGGCCACATTCTGGAGAACCGGGAACAGAGCCGGGCTCGTTTTTCGTCAACAGTCACACACTTCGTGCTCTTCGACCTCCCAGAACTCCATTCCCGGGCTACATTTTGAGTGCCCGGAGCCAACTGTAGGCCACTTCGTGCTCTTCGAGTTCCCAGAACTCCATTCCTGGGCATGATTTTGAATGCCCGGAGCCAACTGTAGGCCACTTCGTGGTCTTCGATACCCAGAACTCCATTCCCGGGCCACATTTTGGATGCCCGAAGCCAACTGTAGGCCACTTCGTGCTCTTCGAGTTCCCAGAACTCCATTCCCGGGCCACATTTTGAATGCCCGGAGCCAACTGTAGGCCACTTCCGTGTTTTTCTAGTTCCTCCGTGTTCTTCTAGTTCCCAGAACTGTATTCCTGGGCCACATTTTGAATGCTGAGGCAGGCTGATGCTGCGGCCGAGGCAGGCTGAGGCTGAGGCAGGCTGAGGCTGAGGCCAAGGCTGAAGGCAGACTGAGGCTGAGGCTGAAGCAGACTGAGGCTGAGGCTGAGGCAGGCTGAGGCTGAGGCTGAAGCAGGCTGATGCTGAGGCAGTCTGAGGCTGAGGCTGAGGCTGATGCAGGCTGAGGCTGAGGCAGGCTGAGGCTGAGGCCGAGGCTGAAGGCAGACTGAGGCTGAGGCTGAAGCAGGCTGAGGCTGAGGCTGAGGCAGGCTGAGGCTGAGGCAGGCTGAGGCTGAGGCTGAGGCAGGCTGAGGCTGAGGCTGTGACTGCGACTGCTCTTGCCGCTGCGACTGTCATCGCGAATGCGACTACGACTGCGAGAACAGCAGAATTCTACAACTGGATTTTCATCTGAATCTTAAGGGGAATGCTTTCAGATATGCTTCTACATATCGCTGTTAGGTTGCTTTGCCGGGATAATTTTTTCAGGACGGCGTCCCCAGAAGTCTCGACCCATTCCCCGGGGCCCGTTTCTCATCCCGAGTCGTTTTTGGATGGTCCCGGGGCCCAGCGAGGGCCCCTCGAGGCCGAAAAATTAGAAAAACCTCCGTCTTCATTCTTTTCAAAACCTCCTTCCTGGGATCACACGCTTTGTCATCGCGAGAGAAAAAAACGCTTTCGGCCCCCGGAGGGAACGGCCTGGGACGGGGAACGGCCTGGGACGGGGAGCGGCCCGCATCGACGGGGGCCGCGCGTCGGACCTCTGGGGTTCTTCGGCCCTGGCCTCGCGCGCCCCACGCTGCCTCCCAGACTCCCTCGAGTGATGAAAACATCAGGACGGGAGGTTTCTCCAAAATTGTCAACCTCCGGGGGGCCCCCGCCGGGCCCCGGGAGCGTCCAAAAAACGACTCGGGATGCAGAGCCGGTCCTGGGGGAAGGGTCGGGACCTCTGGGGGTCGACGTAATGAACAAATCATTACGTCGGGGGTCTGGGCTGCCTCTCCGCCTCGCCCTCCCCGCTCCTATAGGAGCCCCCTCGCGCTGGGAAGCCATCGCGACGGGAGGTCTTCCGCCCTTCTCGGCCCCTGCAGAGGGCGCCCTCGCCCGGCCCCCGGCGGCCGTCAAGGGAGGACCCATGCATGGGATGCAGAGCCCGGCCCCGGGGGGAGGGGGTCCAGACCTCTGGGCGTCGACGCTGCGCAGGAAGCACGACGTTGCGGGGGTCTGGGCCCCTCCCACGCCGAGAGGGCCCACCGGCGGGAGGCGGCCTCGCGAGGCTGGCCGCCGGGGCAAGCGACCGGCCAGGTGGCCTCCTTGATATTGTCTCGGGCTGCTGCTGCTCCTCCTGCTCCCGCCCTCCCTCTTTTGGAAGCCTCCGGACGCCGGTGCGACTCGTGGGGGGCCTCGGAAACCCGCGCGACTTCGCGCGGGGGGCGCCTCCGGGAGCCGCCATGGAACACGCGTGCGCCCGCCGAAGCCACCGCCGCACCACCGCCCTGCCCGGGCCCAGGAGGGCCTTGGCCCGGGTGACGGTCCCAGAGATCCGACGTCGTGATTTTTTCGATGCGGGGCCCCCAGAAGTACTTCTCGACCCATTCCCCGGGACCGGTTTCTCATCCCGAGTCGTTTTTTGACGGTCCCGGGGCCCGGCGAAGGCCCCTCGATGCTCTACGTTTCAATACCAGCTTCGGCTCCGCGTGTCGCTTCGACGACGCCCCGAGCTCTCTCCGGCCTCCCGCCGCGGGGGGCGGAGCCCTCGCGCTGTGCGCTCGCGCGAGGCATGTGGCGCGTCGCCAGGGCCGCCGCGGCCACCCGCTGAGCAACAGTTCCTGACCGCAGGTGCCTCCTGGGTATGTATGCCTGCTGTTCTGGCCCGAGCTGCGCGAGCGGAGCTGCCCTCGCCCCGCCTTCGGCCGGGCCCGCAGGCATCCGACGACGTGCTCTTTCGGTGCTCGGCGGGGTCCCGACCGCTGCCCCCCCGGGGAGCAGTTGTCCGCCCCGGGCCCGCTTCTGATGGCCCCGGGGCCCGATAGCGGCCCCCACGGGGCCGAGAACATGAGGACTGGCGGCGGCCGCGGGGCCGAACAGCTCACATCGTCCGACATCTGGCATCTCGGCACCCGGGCCAGCATGCTCGTCTCGGTGGTGGCGTGCAGCGGGCGCGAGCTCGCGGCCGTGGAGGCCTCGGGGGGAGCTTTTTCCCTCGGGCACCCGATCACCCCAACGATCTCATCACAGAGGTTCTCCTCCCTCCTCCCTCCTCCCTCCTCCTCCTCCTCCTCCTCCTCCCTCCTCCTCCTCCTCCTCCTCCTCCTCCTCCTCCTCCTCCCTCCTCCTCCTCCTCCCCTCCTCCTCCTCCTATTTCCTCCCCTCCTCCTCCCTCCTCCTCCTCTCCTCCTCCTTGTAATCCCTCCTCCCTCCTCCCTCCTCCCTCCTTCCTTCCGTCCTCCCTCCCTCCTCCCTTCTCCTTCTCCTTCCTCCCTCCCCCTCCTCCTCCTCCCCTCCTCCTCCTCCTCCTCCTCCTCCTCCTCCTCCTCCTCTCCTCCTCCTCCTTCTCCTTCTCCTGCTCCTCCTCCCTCCCTTCCTCCCTCCCCTCCTCCCTCCCTCCCTCCCTCCCTCCTCCTCCTCTCCTCCTCCTCCTCCTCCTCCTCCTCCTCTTCCTCCTCCTCCTCCTCCTCCTCCTCCTCCGCCTCCTCCTCGTCCTCCTCATCAGCATCATCATCACTCCTATCCTCATCCTCATCTCATCCTCATCCTCATCCTCCCTCATCTCCTCCTTCCTCTCCTCCTCTATCCTCCTCCCTCCTCCTCCTCTCTCCTCCCTCCTCCTCCTGCTCCTGCTCCTCCTCCTCCTCCTCCTCCTCCTCCTCCTCCTCCTCCTCGGGGCCCCCCTTGGCGGCGCCCCCGGCGCCGCCCCTGGCTTTCTCCGCGCGCCGGGGAGGGGGGGCCAGCGCCCTCCTCCTCCTCCTCCTCCTCCTCCTCCTCCTCTTTCTCGGGGCCCCCCTTGGCGGCGCCCCCGGCGCCGCCCCTGGCTTTCTCCGCGCGCCGGGGAGGGGGGGCCAGCGCCGAGCCGAGCAATCCGCGCGGTTCTCTGGAGGTTTATGCCGATGCCGATTGTGTTCATGATCGCATCGGGAGCTTCTCGGAGATAGTTTTGGGGCATCCTGGGGACTGTTTTGGGGGACTCCTGGGAGCCTCTTAGGGGCTCCGGGGGGCTTCTCAGGGGCCTCTCAGGGGCCTCCTGGGGGGCCTCTTGGAGGCCTCTTGGGGCCCTCTTGGGGCCTCCTGGGGGCCTCTTTGGCGGCGGGGCTTCCTGGGGGCCTCTTGAGGCGGAAGGTTTGATTTTTCGGTTCGTCCCATAACTTGGGGGCCTCCTGCTGGCCTCTTGGGTCGTCGGGGAGCGATTGGTGGGGCCTCTTGGGCCGTCTTGGAGCGTCGGAAAGCCGAAACGGCGAGAGGGCCCCAAACCGTCGAGAACTTGCGGTGAGCACGATGCTTGCCTCTTGGGGCACTCCCGGGACGCCTCGTGGCGCCGGGCCCTGGGAGGTGCGAGGATTGGGGGCCGGGGCCCCTGATCTTAAGTCGGGCCTGCCCCTCGGCAGAAGGAAGGCTCCCGAACGGGGACGACTGTTCCCAGACATGCTCGCGTCGTAAAAAGAAAAAAACAAGTCAGGATGAACAGTTTTTGGCTATTTTCGGCCCCGGGGGTCTTCGCTGGACCTCGGGACCGTCAAAACACGACTCAGGATAAGAAGCCGGTCCCGGGGAAAGGGTCGGGACTTCCAGGGACGCCGTCCTGAAAACATGAGGGCGTCGCATGTCTGGGTTTGGACCCTTTCCGGCATATTTTTGGTGTATTTTGGGGGTCTGTTGGATTTTCGTCCAAGATCCGCCCGTAGGGGGCCCGGGCCCCTAACAGAGACTCCCCAGAGGCTGACACCAACACCAATATCGGCGGTGTGCCTCCACGGGGGGAAGGCGATCCCGATTTCGGCGATGGTGGCAATGGTTCTGGTTTCCAGGGTGGCCGAGATCGTACCACCAACACCGACGTCCAGGATCATCCTCCCCCTGTGGAGGCAGACCCCCTGTGTCGGTGTTGGTGCCCATGTCCAGGCCTCCAATGGAGATTCGGCACAGGGCCCGAGGGCGCGCCCACTGCGTACCCAGGGCAGGGTGGCGGATAGGCCAGGGAGGAGCGAGAGGAGGAGCGGGAAGGGGGGCGGCGCGGGCGGGGGCGATCCGCGCCTGGCCCCTGCAGGCGTCTCGCTGCCTGCGGTGCGCAGACCGCTGGGCTTGAGTCGGGCCTGCCCCTCTGCAGGAGGGATATTCAAAAGCAGTCACAACACAGTCAGGGTACGAGTTTTCGAGTTTGTTTTTTTTTGCGGGGGGGCATTTGGGATAGCTGGGACCATTTTCGGGTAATTTCTGGGTGTTTCAAAAACGGTCGAGGTCAGCCTTTAGTCGGGCATTATGGGATAGTTCTTTACTCCTCGTCCTGAATCCGCCTGTAGGGGGACAGGCCCGACCTGGCGCTGGGCGCGCGAGGCGCACGGTGGCCGCCGCCGCGTGGCAGGCAACGGGCCGCCCCCCCGAGCTCGGCCGCGGCGGCCGCTACGCTCGGGCGTGGCCGGGGCACCCGGCACGGGCCGCACTCGCGCACGTCGGGGCTCAAGAGACCGGCACGTGCTCGGGGCTCAAGAGACGTCGGGAGTCAGCCAGGGCACTGGATCCTGCAGGATCCTGCGACGAGCCCCTCTGGCTGACCCGGGTCAGCGAGCCGCTCGTGGCCGCGAGGCGGCCGCGCACATGGGCTGACCCAGGTCTGCGAAGACCTGCGTTGCAGGTTTTTGTTTCCTGCATTGCAGTTTTTTGGTTTCCTGCCAACCCGGGTCAGAAGATCCCCGAGCACGGTACAGGCGCGCTCCGAGGTGCGCACGGTGCAGGCCGGCCTCCGCGCGGGAAGGGCGCCAGCACGCCATGGTCGAGTGAGGTCGAGCATCCAGTGTCTCGGCGCGCTGCTGGCCCAGCGCCGCCGGCTCCGGGCAGGCTGTGCTGCGCGGCGCCGGAGATGGGGCGGGGAGAGGGGCCGAAAGGGATTTGCGCCCCATACTTGCCCCTGCGCCTCTGCGCCCATGCGCGCTTGCGCGCGCCTTTGCGGCGCGCCTCCGCGTGCGTCTGCGGTGCGCTTGCACGCGCCTCTGCGTGCGTCTGCGGTGCCCTTGCGCGCGATATTGCGCGCGCCTCTGCGGGCCTGCGCACGCCTCCTCTGCGCGAGCCTCTGCGCGCCTGCGCGCGTCTGCTCTGTGCGCCTCTGCGCGCCTCGGCGCGCCTCCGCGCGCGTCTGCTGCGCGCTTGCGCGCGTCTGCGCGCCTCTGCGCGCCTCTTGGCGCGTGTGCGCGCGTGCTGCGCTCGCCTCTGCGCTTGCCTCTGCGCGCCTGCCTGCGCGCGCTTCCTCGGCGCGTTTCCTCTGCGCGCCTCCGCGCGCGTCTGTGGGGTGCTGCAGGTGGGCGGGGGGGGGCAGAGGCCCTGGCGCGGGCGGTCCTTGCAGCGGCGGCCAAAGCTGGCCGCCGATCGGCGGGCCCACCGCGGCCGGGGCTCCCCGCCGGGGTGGGGGGCCTGAGGAGGGCGGGCCAGGGGCGACAGCCTCAGGAGAAGGGGGCAGCATCGACCCCCACCGACAGCTCGCCCCCGCCCAGGAGCGCGCGGATCTGCCTTCGGAGGCTTGATTCGCCGATCTATCGGCGATGCACCGCCGACGAGCCATGTGCCCCGCCACAACTGCAACTCGGGCCTCCAGCGGCCGCGCGGCTCTCGGCGGAGCGCGGCCGCTGGAAGGCGCCCCGAGGCTGGACAGCTGCCGGGGGCCTGCCTCGGTGAACGCCTGGCCGCTCCGGGCTGCGCGGGGCCGGCTGCTTGGCGTCCGCGCTTCCACGAGCACGGCGCGGGGGGCAGGGCGAGGCGGCGCGGGCGAAGAGAGAGAGAGAGAGAGAGAGAGAGAGAGAGAGAGAGAAAAAAAGAGAGAGAGAGAGAGAGAGGGCGGAAGAGGACGGCGAGGAGGCGGCGGAGGAGGAGGAGGAGGCGGAGGAGGAGGAGGAGGGAAACCCTCCCGGGAAGGGAGGCCGACCCGTCGTGGCAGCTGGGCGACCTCCTCGCGGCGGTCCCCGAGCAGGAGGAGGCGGCCGGCCACAAACTACGCATCCTGTTCGGTGGGGCGGAGCTGTGCGGCGCCGCGACGCTGGGCGAGATCGGGGTCCAGGGCGGCAGCGAGCTGACCCTCGTGGTCACCAGGAGGCGCCGCATAGTGGCGTGCGACGGGGCGGTGGCGAAGGTCTGGGACGCCGACTCCGGGGAGTGCCTGCGCACCCTGGAGGGCCACGAGGGCGCCGTGAGGTCCGCCGTGTTCTCGGGGGACGGGCAGCGGGTGCTGACCGCCTCGCGGGACCGGACGGCGAAGATCTGGGACGCCGACTCCGGGGAGTGCCTGCGGACGCTGGAGGGCCACCAGCGCGCCGTGAGGTCCGCCGTTTTCTCGGGGGACGGGCAGCGGGTGCTGACCGCCTCGGACGACTGGACGGCGAGGATCTGGGCCGCGGACTCCGGGGCGTGCCTGCGCACGCTGGAGGGCCCCGTGCTGTCCGCCGTGTTCTCGGGGGACGGGCAGCGGGTGCTGACCTCCTCGACGGACGGGACGGCGAAGATCTGGGACGCCGACTCCGGGGAGTGCCTGCGCACGCTGGAGGGCGCCGGGCACACGGCCTGCTTCGCGCCGTGATCGCCCGAGGGGCTGGCGGCGCCGAGCGGGGGCGCCGGCGGAGGCCTCTCCCCTCCGCCCGCCCTCCCTCTCCCTTTCCCATCCCTGCTCCCCCTCCGAGATGCCCCCAGCGCGGCCCTTCCTCCCCCTCCCTCTCTCGCCCCTGCTTCCCCCCGCCAAGATGCCCCTCTCCCTCCCTTGCCCCCCCCCCCTCCCAGAGCCCTCCCCCTCCCAGAGCCCCCCCCTCCCATGCACCCCCCTTCCATGCCCCCCCCCCTTCGCCCCCCACTTCCTTGCTCCCTCCCTCCCCTGGCAGTTCCTGCAGGACGGGGCTGGGGGCGGGGTCGCCCCGCTCGAATCTCCTCCTCCGCCTTCCCCTGGCCCTCCTGGTCCTCCCAACCCGTCCGCTTTGGTTCCTGCTGCTGTTGTTCGTTATCCTCCCTGTCCTCCCGCTCATCTTCCCCGCTCACCCACCAACTCCTCTTCCTCCTGTCGCGCGCAGCTTCCCGTTTCTCGACTGCGCATAACACGAAATGGTCTTCCTGTGGGCGTCGCAGGTCAGCTATGACACGCGTCCGCGGATGGAGGAAGATTGGGAAGGCATGGGAGGGAGAGACAGGATGTCAGATGAGGCGCGAGCGCACCTCGCTTGGCCCTTCCTCCCCTCTTCCTTTCCCGCCCCTGCTTCCCCCCCAAGCTGCCCCTCTCCCTCCCTTCGCCCCCTCCCCCCCCCTCCCACAGCCCTCCACCTCCCATGCCTCCCCAGACATGCGACCTCCTGATTTTCGCAGGACGGCGTCCCCGGAGTCCCGACCCTTTCCCCGAGACTGGCTTTTCGTCCCGAGTCGGTTTTTGACGGCCCCGAGGCCCAGCGAGGGCCCTGAGAGGCTGAAAACGACGAAAAGCCTCCGTCTCGTTTTTTTCGAGACGCCCGATGTCCGGCCCCCTCCCTTGCGTGCACAGCCTCCCCCTCCAGTCCCTCCCGGCTCTGCGCTCTGGGGCGACCTCCGGACTGTTTCAGGATGGGCCCGGAAGTCCCGACCCTTTCCCCGAGACCCGTTTTTCGTCCCGAGTCGGTTTTTGACGGTCCTGAGGCCCAGCGAGGGCCCTGAGAGGCTCTGCGCTCTGGGGCGGGGCTCTCGGGCACGCCCCTGGGCCGCCGCGGGGCGGGGCCGCCCTCGCTCCCTCGACCCCTCCCCCCCCTCCTCCGCGCGAGCTGCGGGCCGGCACCGCCTCGCGCGCTATGAACGCGCATCTTTTGACAAAAGGGCCGACCTTCGTTTTGCGACCCAGAGGTCCAACGCGTTGACAAAAATCGAGACGGAGATTTTTCCCATTTTTCGGCCTCGAGGGGCCCTCGCCGGGCCCCGGGACCGTCGAAAAACGACTGAGGACGAGAAGCCGGTCCTGGGGAATGGGTCGAGACTTTTGGGGACTATGGAGAAAATCACGACATCGGATCTCTGGGTTACCTGCTTGGCCCTTCCTCTCTCTCTCCCTGTCCTGCCCCCGCTTCCCCCGCCCAGGGCGCCCCTCTCCTTGCCCCGACTGCGGTGGGGGCGTTGGTGAAGGAATGGGATGCGGCAGACCCTGGGGGCTTCCTTGTCTGATGAGGGCGGCGGTGATATCCATGGCCAAGCCGCGATTGGAATCCCACTGGCTTCCAGACCGTGGATTCCTTCTCTAAGGGCTCCTTGTCCAATGCCCTCACCGTATATCCCAGACCTGCGACGTCCTGATTTTGTTCCGGCCGGCGCCCCCGGAAGTCCCGACCCTTTCCCCGGGGCCGGCCTGTCATCCTGAGTCGCTTCTTGACGGCCCAAGGGGCCCGGCGAGGGCTCCTCGAGGCCGAGATTTGCTGGGGCGCCGGGGAGGGCAAGTTGCCCTCCCCGGATCGCCAGCGAGCTGAGAAGCCCGGGGCCCAAGAGACGGGGGCCAATGCGAACGGGGGTCAGCCAGAGCGCCCTCCCTGGACCTCCCAGCGAGATGGGGGTCAATGCAAGCGAGATCGCGTCGCAAAAAAATCAGGACGACAGTTTTTCGCTGTTTTCGGCCCCTGGGGGGCCCGCGCCGATCCCCAGGATTGTCAAATAACGATTCAGGATGAAAAACCGGTCCTGGGGAAAGGGTCTGGATTTCCGGGGACGCCGTCCTGAAAAAATCAGGACGTCGCATGTCCGGGAATGCAAACGGGGGTCAGCCAGAGCACCCGATCTTGCAGGATCCTGCAGGGCCAGGGTCGCATTGACCTGGGCTTGGGTGCAGGATCCTGCAGGGTCCTTCGCATTGACCGGGGTTTGGGTACAGGATCTTGCAGGATCTTGCAAGGCCTGGCTGACCCGGGTCTGGATTGACCCGGGCCAGAAGATCCCTGAGAAGCTGAAGGCGTTTTTTTTTGTTGTTCTGTTGTTTCCTTTTTGTTTTGTATATCTTAAGGGACCGTTTCCCCAGGACCGGCTCCTCATCTTGAGCCGTTTCTTGGCGGCCCCGGGGCCTGGCGAGGGCCTCTTGAGGCCGTGGCCGACGAAAAACCTGTCCTGATTTTTTCACGACGCGATCACGTCCCCAGAGATCCGAAATCGTGATTTTTTTCAGGACGGCGTCCCCAGAAGTCTCGACCCATTCCCCGGGCCCCGTTTCTCATCCCGAGTCGTTTTTGGATGGTCCCGGGGCCCATTGAGGGCCCCTCGAGGCCGAACAATTTGAAAAACCTCCGTCTCGATTTTTTCAAAAACCTCCGTCCTGGGATCACACGTTTTGTCATCGCAAAACAAAAAAAACGCTTTCGGCCCCCGGGGGGAACGGCCTGGGACGGGGAACGGCCTGGGACGGGGAGCGGCCCAGGGCGACGAGGCTGGCCCTGGGGCAGGGGCCGGTATCTCTCCGGGGCCCCCGCGTCGACGGGGGCCGCGCGTCGGACCTCTGGGGTTCTTCGGCCCTGGCCTCGCGCACCCCACGCTGCCTCCCAGACCCCCTCGAGTGATGAAAACATCAGGGCGGGAGGTTTCTCCAAAATTGTCAACCTCGGGGGGCCCCCGCCGGGCCCCAGGAGCGTCCACAAAACGACTCGGGATGCAGAGCCGGCCATGGGGGAAGGGTCGGGACCTCCTGGGGGTCGACGGAAAGGACAAATCCTTGCGTCGGGACCCGCCCTCCCCTCTCCCGCTCCGCCCTCCCCGCTCCTCCCTGACATCTTGTGGTGGCAATTTTTTTGCAACGCTCCTTTTGATGCAATGTTTGTGTGACGTTGCAATTTTTAGCTCGCAGTTCGCAGCGTTGCAATTTTTCTTGTCATGTTGCAATTTTTCTTGCGACGTTGCAATTTTTCTTGCCATGTTGCAGTTTTTCTTGCGACGTTGCAATTTTTCTTGCGACGTTGCAATTTTCCTTGCCACGTGGCCATTTTCGATACGATTGCGCCACGCACGGTCACCCGAACGAAATCCCGCTGGTCACCGTTAAGGGGTCAATTTCGTTGCGAAATCAATATGACAGCTTTTCCATTGCAATGCAAAACTCGCACGCGCGCGTCCGCGCGCGCGCGCGATCGGGTGATCCACGCGCGGGCAGGTCACCCGAAATCTCGTTTGTTACAGTGATACATAATCAATTTAATGTGGCAGGCCGACTTGGGAAACATCAGAAAACGCATGTTAACTTCAAAATCCAATCGATCACCGTTAAGGGTTCACTTGAGTTTCCAGGCGAACATGGCGACTTTTCCATTTTTGAAAACACCTTAACTTCAGGATACAATCGATCACCGTTAAGGATTCACTTTAGTTTCCAGGCCAACATGGCGGCTTTTTATTGTGGACAACACAAAACTCGCCACGCGCGCGCGCAATCGGGTGACCCGCGCACGGGCAGGTCACCCGAAATCCCGTTGGTTACCTTTAAGGGTTTAATTCAGCTTCCAGATCAAGTATCAGATCAAGATGTCAGCTTAATATCTATATATGTATAAGAATAAACTCAATTGCGCCCTTATTAACAGAAACCAGCGGGATTTCGGGTGACCCGCCCGTGCGCGGGTCACCCGATTGCGCGCGCGCGTGGCGAGCTTTGTATTGTCCACAATAGAAAAGCCGCCATGTTGGCCTGGAAACTAAAGTGAACCCTTAACGGTGATCGATTGGATTCCGAAGTTAACATGCCTTCAAAAATGGAAAAGTCGCCATGTTCGCCTGGAAACTCAAGTGAACCCTTAACGGTGATCGATTGGATTTTGAAGTTAACATGCGTTTTCTGATATGTCCAAAAATGAAAAAGTCGCCATGTACTCCTGGAAACTAAAGTGAACCCTTAACGGTGACCGATTGGATTTTGAAGTTGACATGCGCTTTCTAATATTTCCCAAACGCCATGTTGGCCTGGGAATGTATAAGGAATCCAACGTGACTTCGGGTGACCAGCCCGCGCGTGAGTCACCCGATCGCGCGCGCGCGCGCGGACGCGCGCGTGGCGAATCTTGTATTACCCACAATGGAAAAGCTGCCCTGTTGATCCCGAAACTGAATTGAACCCTTAACGGTGGCCAACGGGATTTCGGGTGACCCGCCCGTGCGCGGGTCACCCGATTGCGCGCGCGTTGCGAGTTTTGTATCTGCAATAGAAAAGCAGCCATGTTGGCCTGGAAACTAAAGTGAACCCTTAACGGTGATCGATTGGATTTTGAAGTTAACATGCGTTTTCTGATATGTCCAAAAATGAAAAAGTCGCCATGTTCGCCTGGAAACTCAAGTGAACCCTTAACGGTGATCGATTGGATTTTGAAGTTAACATGCGTTTTTTATATTTTCAAAAATGGAAAAGTCGCCATGTACTCCTGGAAACTAAAGTGAACCCTTAACGGTGACAGATTGGATTTTGAAGTTAACATGCGTTTGTGTGTGTGTGTGTTCTGACGAAAACAGTACAACCATGTTGGCCTGGAAACTAACATGGCACCATTAACTGTTACATATTTGAGTTTGAAGTGCATTCCGTGTGCTAGAGGCTTCAAACATAATGCACCACCACACGCGGGTGACACGTGTCACCCGCGCGCTTGGCTTGTACCGTCCGCAATCGAAAAAATCGGCATGCTTGCCTAGCAATGAAAATACATTGTACTTCCAAGAGGAGCTTTTGTTTTCGTGCACGAAAAAACATAAAGACAGCCAGGGGGGCATGGAAATTTTAAAATAGAAACTCTGTTCGCGGTAACATATTGGACTTTGGTATTACGCGCGCGGGTGGCGCGTGCCACACGCGCGTGCGCGCGAGACTCCTGCATTGCCCTTTCGCCATGTTGCCCAACGGCCGATTTGCTTTATGGAGTTATAGCATGGGTGCACCCATGCGGTTGTTGTATTGTATTGTATTGTATATACAACAACCACATGGGTGGAATTTTCTCGAGCCCGCCCCCCTCTCCTCCGCCCTCCTGGATAATTTCCTATGGTCACATTCCACCCATCCGCCCTCTTCGGTTGTTTGCTCCCCGCGCGCAGCTGAAGCCCCTCGAGGGCGGCGCTGGCGCCAGCGAGCGCCGCCTCGGATCCGCGCGCGCGGCGCGCGCGGCGCGCAGCGCATGGGGGCGGGGGGGGGGGGGGGGGATGCGGGCTGTCAGGGCCCATATGTGATCCGGGCAACCTATTGTTTTCGAGTCGGGCGTTTTCGTTTTTTTTTCTGGTCCAGGGGCCCTCGCAAACCGATTCGGCTCGAAACATGGTGCAGGATCATGGTGTCTGGAGCTACGGCCGCGATGTGTCGCGATGTTTTTTGTGTGTTCGTCGGATCCCAAGGCTGGACGCGCAGCGGGGTGGGGCTGGGCTGCAGGGGCCCCGAGGACAGCCCCCCACCATTTCCCCTCCCACTTCGACGCCCTTTCCTGCTCTCCCTTCCCCTCCTCGTCTGGCACGTGCGTTGGAATTGGCTCGGAATTCCATGTGTGTCTCCTCGTCATCTGCCTTTTTCTCACCCTCCCGCCTCGCAAACCCTCCCCTCGATCGGCGCCCCCTTCCCCGAGCGGGCAGGTCATGTCGAGACAACCGAGGCCCTCGCCGCCCCGCGACCCACCGACTGCGGTCGTGGACATCGACGCGTGCGCCCAGGCGTTCGGGGAATAGGGAGGGGGGCAGGACGAATTAAGACGAGGAGGTGACGCGTATGTGTATAGCTATGTGTATATATATAGATTGCCTCACTCGAGGGATGCAAGTGATAACAGTGGAGGGCACTGGAGGGAGGGCCATATTGATGGAGGGAGCGTAGACCCCGAATATATCTAGAGGGATACAGAGAGAGGGTGAACGATAGTGAGGTGTAGGAATCCACGGGAATTGAATGATCAGAGGCATGTATGGCGACGGATGGTGCAACACTATAGACGTATAGCGCGCGTAACTGTATATAGACGCTTCCGTATACACGTATGCGTGCATATATGTATACATGCAGTATACATATATATATACACGTGTGTATATATATATATATGTATACATAGGCGTGTCTGTATGTATGCATGAATGCGTGTATGCATGTATATGTGTGTATGCACGTATGTATGTATGTATGTGTGTATGTATGCATGTTTGTATGTATGTATGTATGTGTGTATGTATGTGTGTGTATGTATGTATGTATGTATGTATGTATGTATGTATGTAGGTGTGTATGTATGTACGTGTGTATGTATGTGTGTATGTGTTTGTATGTATGTATATGTATAGTTGTGTGTGTATGTATGTTTGTATGTATGTATGTATGGATGTATGTATGTGGGTATGGATGTGTGCATGCATGTATGTATATATGTATGGATACGTGTGTAGGTATATGCATGTCTGTGAATGCGTGCAAACGTGCTTCAATCTATACATACATAGACTCGTACACCTAATACTTCAATATGCGGCCTCCCGCAACTTGCCCCCTCTAACGATCCCTAGGGAGGCAGGGGGGCTAGATGGTGCCCGCCGCCGCCAGGCGCTCAGCGTGCAGGATGACGACCCCGAGACCCCGATGATGGTTGGCTTCCAGAACATCCCCAACTGGTGCCACTACACACCGACTAAGGGCGGGTCGCGGCCAATGCCAGACCAGTACATGGCGCCAAGGGGCGGAGAGACACAGAGTGACAGAGCGAGAGAGAGAGAGAGATAGAGAGAGCGACACATAATGCGAGCGATCGAGAGAGAGAGATATCTATATACATATATATATAGAGAGAGATCCCTAGATACATATCCTGCATTGTATCCCTCGAGTTCCTCACTTAATACGATGGCGAGGAACTCGAGGGAGCTCCGACTGGTCAATTAATGAAGGAGCTGCCATCGTCGTCGCATACGTCGTCGTCGTCGCCGTCGCCGTCGTCGGAGGAGGAGGAAGAGGAGGAGGGGGAGGGGGAAGGTGAAGGACGGCGACGTTGCAATCGCTCCTCTTCGTCGGCGCCCTTGCGTCCTGGCCACATCCGCGTTTCCCTGCTCCGCGCCGCGCTCGTCGTCGTAGTCGATCGCTCTCGCCTCCCCCCCTCTCTCTCTCTCTCTCTCTCTCTCTCTCTCCCCCCCTCTCTCGCTATCTAATGTTTCGCATGTCCATCCCTCTCGAGACCGCCTCTCCCTCGAGCCCACCTTGCCTCCCCCCCCCTCCCTCTCTCTCTCTCTCCATCTCTCTCTCACTCTCTCGACCTCTGTCTCTCCATCCCTGTCTATCTCTCCCTCTCTCTCTCAGCTCTCTCTCTCTCTCTCTCTCTCTCTTTCTCTTGAGCTTCGCAGCCTGCGGAGGGCAGAGGAAGGGAAGGCAGGCCAGCAAGACAAAGGGCCAAGGGAGGTGTTCGAACGGACATACAAAGAGCTCGAGAAGATTACAAACGGGCTGCGCATCAGCCAGAAGAATATGGAGGCTCGGGATTTGCCAGCCCTGGTGCACGTGCTGTTGTGTGTAGGTATGTGCACATATGTATGCGTGTGTACGTAAACATATACGTACACGTTGGACGCGAAGCTTGCATGCGCGCATGAAAAACTAGATATGTACATGTGAATGGACACCATAGTAAGCATGCACACGCTGGACACTAAAACGATCATTTTGTTACTATACGCAAAAAAGACACCTACATACGCATACTGCGTATACATATATATATGTGTGCATGCGCATGTGTGCCAATTTGCATGAATGTACACATATATATATATATATGTATATAGGTGTATGTATAGTGCATGCATATGTATGTGTGTATACACATATACATATACATGCATGCACGTATAAAGTGACAGATGCACACTGCGTATATATATATGCCTAAGCACGTGTGGCGATATGCATGCATGTATGCACGTCCCGTCCGGTTCCTCCTTTCGGTTTCTCTTGCAATCGATCCGCCCAGCCCCTCTACGCACCGCCATGCCAGGCCATCTGGGACCAGATGTATGCAGATAGGTTCAGAGACCAGTGCAAAAAGATGAAGAACCGCAAGCCTGCTGCGACAGTTGTGACGGGACATCGGCTCCCTGGGGAACAGCAGAGGAAGCGGTGGATCGGGAACCCGAGTGCATAGACATATTTATACACTGACATATAAGTACATTCATACATGCTGTTATGCATATGTAAAGTAATGCAAGTATGCACGTGCACACACTTACACATATACATGCACATGTATGGATGGTTGATTGCACGAATGTACATTGACGTATATGTATTCACGGATTCGATTAATACCGATTTGCATGCGTAACTGCTCGTGTATTGTCTCGCAGCCCAGGTTCCTGCAGGCCAGACAGTTCCGCATCGGCTTCGCCCACTGGCAGAACAGCAGGAAGGACAGATCGAGCCAGCTGGTCAGCAGTGGGGAGGGGCAGGGGGAGCAAAGGAAAACGACGCCTCGGGAGGAGGGAGGAGGGAGGAAATCCTCAAAATTTAAACGACTGCTGGGCGCAAGGAGCCGCGGAGGCACGGAACTCAAGACGAGCATAGGGGAGGAGGAGGAGGAGGAGGAGGACGGAGTGAGGGGGAAGGAGAAGGAGGAGGAGGAGGAGGAGAAGGCGGAGACGAGCGTAGAGAAGGAGGAGGAGGAGGAAGAGGAGGAGGAGAAGGAGGGGGAGGGGGAGGAGGAGGATGAGGAGGAGGACGTGTACGTCGATGATGACGTCGACGATGGCGCGACTGAGTCGGGCAGGTCGCCAATGACATCGAGGATATCACAGGTGCCAGCTTGCAGGAGCAGATGCGGAACGCCTTCGAGATCACCAGCGACGACGACGACGACGAGGACACTCTCCTGCCTGTGGCGGGGAGGGGCGGGGAGGATCTTTGCCGAGATGGAATGGGCACCAAAAATTTCAGACACCAAACACGATGCTTCACCCTGTAGGGTGAAGTATCGTTTTTGATGTCTTAAGTCTATAGTTTTCCATACGCACCCGATCGTATAGTGCGATCGGGTGCGCATGGAAAACTCAATCGACGGCCCTCGGTGCAGGTCGCGCGGATCTTAAGTGCCTGCTCAGACCATTCCCTGAATTCAGGGAATGGCCTGAGCAGGCACTTAAGATCGAGGCAGGTTCAGAGCGAGTACCCGAATGGTCGGTCGTGCGTGTTGGATGTTCGTGTGCACCATGGCAAAGCGCCCATTGGATGTTCTCTTAATTGGCCGACTGAACGTTCTCAAATTCGTTGGTGATGTGCGTGCGGCCTATCCGACTGTGGTGAGTCATGTCTGCATGCCCCAATCGACTGCAGTGTTGAGTGACACTTCGTGACGGCTACGGGGAGGGACCATCCTGAACATCAGTCTCATTCGGCTCCTCATCGTTATTAGTCGTATGCTTGTCATTGTTATTACTATTGTAAACCGTATGCCACCAACGCCATCATCATAACCAGCATCATCAGCACCATCATCATCATCATCATCATCATCACCACTACCATGAACACCAGCAGCATCATCAGCATCAACATCAGCATCGCCGCCAACGATGGCGGCGATGCTGATAGCACTAGCACCACCCTTGATGGTGCTGATGGTTGAGGGGAGGCGGACGAAGAACCCATCAAGTCTGTGGTCGTGCCGTACTTGAAAAGCTTGACTGGGAAAAGGGTGAAGCATCGGCATCACTTCGCCAAGAAGGACAAGAAGGACAAGAAAGACAAAAAGGACAAGAAAGACAAGAAGCACGCTAAGAAGGAGCCCGACGATGACGACAACGGGCCGCTCGGGCAGATCCCGTACAGCTTTGCCAGCATGGCAACGCCCCGCAAGCGGCCAGCTGCGGCCGTCGACGTCCTAGAGCCTGCAGCGGCCAGCGGCAGCGGATCACGGCCAACGGTCGCGAAGCGGCCCGCGGCTTGCATGAAGAGGCCAGCTGCGGCGCCGCGCCCGCCTGCAGGCGGCGCGCCAGGCGACGAGGACGCCGACGCCGAGGACGGCGGCGCGGGCGCCGAGGGCAGCGGCGCGGGCGCCGAGGGCAGCGGCGAGGCCGAGGGCAGCGGCGAGGGCGCCGAGGAGCCCGCCGAGGGCGCTGAGGAGCCCGCCGAGGCAGAGGAGGACGAGAAAGGCGAGGAGATCGAGGAGGCTGAGGATACCAAGCCAAGCGAGGACGACAGTCCCGAGGTGATCTTCGTCGACGACGGGGATGGCGGTGAGACGAGCTGCAAGATGATGAGCACGCACGACTCCAACTGGTACTGGCTGAAACGAGTGCGCCGCAACTCCGAGGGCTACGATTGCCTCTACTACAAGAAGGATGGCGATAAGAAGTACACTCAGCTCCTCATGGTCTCCGACAAGAAGTTCGAGGACATCTGCGGCAAGTGGTCCAGCCAGCACTGCAGCTTCGTGTTCATCAAGAAGTGCTTGGACTGGATCCAGAGGGAGGGCACGGTGTGCGAAGACAGGTGCGCGGCCCTCAAGAAGGACGTCTACCTCGAGATGACGGGCCGCTCCTGGCGTCGAGTTCGGGATCGAACGCCCGTGGATCCAGGGGTGTGTGTATCGGGCTGGAGGTGTTCCCGTGCATGACCTTATATAGTATATATGTGTATTGATGTATAGTTGTGCTTATATATGTGCATTTAGATAGTAAATATAGATATATTGATGTATCTTTAGGTATTAAATATGTGTAATGTGCATGGACCTTGTGATCGCCTGGCCAGTTTAAAGTATACCATAGACCAGGCAATTCCATTGGTGGCCCCTCCCCCCATCGCCTCCCGTTCGCCCCCATCCGTCGACCTCCTCAGCGATCGACCCCCGCATAGCGCAGCCGAGGTGATCGGCATATGCATGGCCGTGGTCGTGATCAGCAGCATCGACGATCACGAGATCGTCGGCATCAGCATCGTCGACATCAGCATCGACGAATTCATGCTACTGCGAATGCAGGCAAGCGGCACGGGAGGGGACAGAGAGAGGGAGGGGGGGATTAAGGTCCAGGCGGGATGGGCCCGAGGAGGGATTCATATATGGAGTGATCGATTGATGGCAAGAGGGAGGGGTGAGAGGGGAAGAAGCGAGAGAGGAAGGGTTGCCTTCCGCTCCTCCTCCTCATTTCGTTTCTCCCCCTCCTCGAGGATCGCTCCTCCTCCTCATCCTCCTCCTCCTCTGCCTCCAGCCTCGGTGATCCCTCCTCGATCCCTTCTCTGCTTCCTCCTCCCTCGATCCTCCTCATCCTCAGTCCTCCTCCTTGCGCCCCTGTGTGCCGCCGCCGATGTCAGTTGGTCGTTGGCCCTGGGGTCAACGACCAGCTGGCATCAAACGATCGTTTGAATGCGTCCTAGTGGCTGTGCGACTCGTGCCCCAGGGCGCGTGGACTCGATCATCCTTCTGGATCCTCCTCTTCCTCTTCCTCCTCTGTGCCCGCCTCGCCCGCAGGTGAGTGGGGCGGCTGCGCCCGCACGGACGTGCGCATGTTCATCATCGTACGGGGAGGGGGCATAGGGACCCCTGCTCCCCGCTTGATCTCGAGGCCTGGCGCCGCAGAAAATATGGAGGCAGAGCGGAGCATGTGCACATGATCATGCGGTTGCAAACGTTCTGTTGCGAGATTGGGCGTGCTTTGTCGATCACTCTACATATAAGCGTATATATGTGCCGATCCAACCACATCTGTGTACATCGCACCTGACATGTCAATATATACATACATATGCATTCGAATAGGTGTATGTATATACATATATATATATATATATATATATATATATATATATTCACAGACATGTCAGGTGCGACCCTACGGGGTAACTCTGCCCTGAGACTTTCGAGACTCGCAAGTGTGCACGGTGCCAATGACAACCGCGGCCGTTGTAGCTCCGCGTGGATGGGGCGATGCCGCCATCACGGCTGCAGAACATTATGGATGTATGCACGTCTATGTGTACACATATATACCTACACCAATGAATGCGTATATGTGGTTATTACAGATGTGCACATACATATACATTTGCATATGTTTGTGTACGAATAACCATAAATACGTGAAAGGGTGTTCTTGCAAGTGCTGCGTCATCTGAAGTGGAATTGCGGGATGCGGTGCCGCTTCCACGCATATCTCGAGGATCCGAACCACATGACTCGATCTGACAGCTCAGCCGACGATTTGAGGTCAGCGTGTCTGCACTCTTGTCGATGTATATATATATATATATACATATGTATACCTCCAGCCATCTCGATGCCCGCGCCCCCCTGGTACAGCCGATCCAGATCAAGACGGGATCCCTCTGCAGCGCGGGCCCCCTCGACGTGGCAAGTTCACCCGTGTGCAGGCGAAAAGGGGCGGGGGCATGACGGGCCTGCAGGCGAAAGGGGAGACTGACAGTGAAGTATACCAATCACGTGTATGCATCATTCGATTCGGAGCGTTCAAGGCGTGTGCAGGTGTGTGTGTATGTATGTATGCAAATGCGTACGATATACAGGAGCGTCGTGTACCTGTATACATGCGTACATGCACGCGCACACATGTGTCTATAAAAGTGCTTGTATCTACATGTTTAGATGCATGCACATGCGCGTGTGTGCGCCTACACATGTATGCACATACATCGATGTGTGGCGATAGCGTTCGCACATGCATGCGCGCGCATGCAATCGAGCTGCATAGCTATATGGGTGTGCGTGCGTGCGTGTATATACACCTATCAGGTGCGAGGAGAAAGAAGAGGTGGAGGAGGGGATGAAGAGAGGCTGAGGAAACGACGATCATGAGAAGAAAAAGGGCACTGAAAGGAGGAGGACCATGGGGCGGAGGAGGAGGAAACGACGATATTCGGGGGGAGGGCCGAGGGGTGCCAAAACTATGGTGCGAGAGGGGGTGGACCGATGAATTGATGTTTATCGAGAGCGGAGGGGGGCCCAATAAATACACATGGGCATGGAAGGGTACCGTGGGGCGGCCGAAAAGGAGGAGGGGACCAGCGTTTGCAGACACACCAAGCTGGCAAACGCTCGGCACCGTTATATGCACATGTATATATATACATACATACATACATACATACATAAATACATACATACATACATACATACATACATATTTACATGAATATGAACGTGCGCACGCGCGCGGCAGCAATGGGGAGGGACTGCGCAGCCCAGGTGCAGCTGGACCTGGGCATCGCGGTTGGCAGGAGAAGCTCTGCAGCGATTTCTTGCAGCGGTCCTACACTGCACTTTGCAAACAAAGCGCTCGCTTAAGGGCGGGGGACACGTCCACGGGGCGGGCGGGGCGCAGCTGGTGGCGTAGGCCCTATCTCTATAGGGCACACGCTTCCAACTGGGGTACCCCGATGTCGCTGGTCGGCACCGACCAGCGCTATCGGGCGCCCAACGGGAGCCCGACGGGCGGCGCGACGGGCACCCGACGGGCGGGTTGGGCTCTCAGGATGCTCAACCCCCCCATCGGGTACCCCCGAATTGGGTTTCTCGGAATGGCGGGGACCGTAATGTTCCTAATGTTCCTCATGTTCCTCATGTTCCCGTAATGTTCCGTAATGTTCCGTAATGTTCCTAATAATGTTCCCCATGTTCCCTCATGTTCATGTTCTCATGTTCCTCATGTTCCTCATGTTCCTAATGTTCCCGTATGTTCCGTAATGTTCCGTAATGTTCCGTAATGTTCCTAATGTTCCGTAATGTTCATGTTCCTGTTCATGTTCCTCATGTTCTTCATGTTCCCGTAATGTTCCGTAATGTTCCGTAATGTTCCGTAATGTTCCGTATGTGTTCCGTAATGTTCCTAGTGTTCCTCATGTTCCTCATGTTCCTCATGTTCCCTCATGTTCCTCATGTTCCTCATGTTCCAGTAATGTTCCGTAATGTTCCGTAATGTTCCTAATGTTCCTCATGTTCCTCATGTTCCCGTAAATGTTCCGTAATGTTCTCCGTAATGTTCCGTAATGTTCCGTAATGTTCCGTAATGTTCCTAATGTTCTTCATGTTCCTCATGTATGTTCCGTAATGTTCCGTAATGTTCCGTAATGTTCTTCATGTTCTTCATGTTCCTCATGTTCCTCATGTTCCCGTAATGTTCCGTAATGTTCCGTAATGTTCCGTAATGTTCCTAATGTTCCTCATGTTCCTCATGTTCCTCGCTTTCCGCAATGTGCCGCAACGCCCCCCAGCGCTATCGCCCGCGCGCCAAATCTGCGCAACGCGGGCACCGCCAGCCCCCCTGGCACCACCCCCCGCTCCCCCCGCGCGCCAAATCTGCGCAACGCGGGCACCACCAGCCCCCCTGGCACCCCCCCCCGCCCCCCGCGAGTGCGGGAACGCGTGTCCGATGTGTATATTGCGGTAACCAGGGGTGCGTTAATGCGCGCGCGCCCAGCGTGGGCGCGCGCGCGGGCGCATTAATGCGCCCGCGCATTAATGCGTGAGCGCACTAATGCGCCCAGTTTCACGCGCGCGTACGCGTGGAACGCGTTGCGAGTGCATGGCCCCTGGCGCCGTGCGCGCCAGGGTCGGAGGCGACCGTCCTGCAGGCGAAGAGGGGCAACTCTGTGTCCGATGTGGATATTGCGCATGAAAAAATACATGTGTGTTGAGTGTGTGCGTGTGTGCGTGTGTGCGTGTGCGTGCGTGCGTCGACTATATGTGCGCGTGCGTGCGCGTGCGTGGTCGCGCGCGCGTCGGGCGCGCTTGTGGATTGCGACGCGTCGATGATATCGATGTGGATATTCTATCGCCCTGCAGTGCCGATGTGGATGTTGCGCCATGCTTTCTGTTCGATCCAGCTGCGCGAATTCCCGCGTGGGCCTTGAGGCCCACGCTGTACATATAACGGGGAGGGCAGGTGAGATGCCGCCCAAAGGCAAGGCGAAGGGAAAGGTAAAAGCTGACCCCGACCAGGTGAAACGCCGCAAGCAGGAGACCAGGCAGGCCCGTTCGGAACACGAGAACTTGCTGCAGCGCTTCCGGACCCCCCGCCATGGAAACCAGCTGGAGAGTGCCAAGCCTGCATGAGCCCGTCAACGTGATCATGATCAAATCGAGAGGATGAGGAGGAGGAGGAGGAGGAGGAGGAGGAAGAGGAGGACGAGGAGGGGGGTCTCGAGGAAAGGATGTGCATGGTGCTGTCGATCTTTGTCGGGCGTCCCTGACCCAGGACCCACTTGGCAAAACAGAAGAAAGAGGTCAAGGACGAATACGAAAGAGCCACCACTCTGGACCACAAGGAGTGGTTGAATAAGTGGCGCAAGCACGGCGCCCAGGGGTGCAAGGAAACAGTGTTAACATGTCAGAACCAACATGTCTGTATATACTAGTGCAAGTACCTGTTTGGAACTTCAGTGCACAAACGTGCCGATCGATGTTAATATTACTGTGTACAGCTATAGACACATGGTCATGTATGTGTGCATGTGTATATGTGTATATATATAGCTGTAAAAAAACAGCAACACATACATGTATATATATGCATATACATATACGCATGTACTGATAACACGCACGTGATCACGAAACATATGTGCACGAATTACATAAATATATGCACACGTGCCCGTTCACCCTTGGACTCCTGGGCTGACCTGTCCTCGTCCGAATCCTCCCGTCGTTACCCTCATGCCGAGTTTGGTGGATTGGCTCAGTGACTATTGTGCGCCACACGCGTGGCCCCACCAACCCTGCAGTCCCGTGCAATGTGTGTATGGATAGGTTCTCGTAGCTAGCCCAGGCAATTTCGACTTTGTCAAAAGCATGAAAACGGAGAGCGAGGAAAAGATGAACATCAAGGGCTCCACAGATCAGTGGCGCAACTGGGACGGCCTACTGGCCGTGTGCGGGTGGTCTGAGCAGAACAAAGACACGCCCACTGGCCAGAGGCCAAGCCGAGGGGTGAAGCAGGGGATAGGGATCATCATGCAGGTAGAAGCATAGAGGATCAGGAGGAGCATGGAGGATCAGGATGAGAGAAGCATAGAGCATACAGGATCATGAATCAGTATGCTGCACACGTTCAGTTCCGCCTGGGGCTGCACCCTTTTGGGTGGGAGCCCTCTTGACAGTGTAGCTCTTCTTGGATCTTTGCGACCCTGTTGAGTCTAACTTGTGAACCCTCTTGGTGTCCCATCCTTCGTGATTGCGTGCGTGATCGATGTTGGAGCTCACCGCTCGGGTCTGAGCCCTGGTAAGTAGTGTGCAGATCTTCTGAGTTCCCTGTGGTCTGGGGTTTTGAAACCTCGCGCCGCCCCAGCCTCTCGCCCGCCGCAGGGCCTACGCTCGGGCGGAAGTGGTCCGCGCCAACTGCGAGAAGCTGAGGAAGACGCACACCACGGTATATGGGAGGGGGGTTCGGGCAGGACGTGCATTTCTAATGTCAGTTGTAGTTTTAACACATCTGTGCATCGACGCGTCCTCTCCCAGCGAGCGCTTGCGTCGCAGAGAGATGGAGGTGGATACCCAGACTGGTGAGACGCTGTACCGCCGCATCGAGAGGGTGAGCACGGAGACCAGGAGCCACAAGCAGGAGCTGAAGACCACGCGCACTACGGGCTTGAAACCTATCGCCGAGGTGACGTCCAGCGACCACAGGTCGGCCAAGGTTCGGTGGTCATGGGGTTGCGTGGGCAAGAGTACCATCGAGAGATAGATAGATCGACATATATATATATGTATGAAGTTAGGGAGTATATGTAATTGCATGTACATGCAAATCGTCAAACATCTCTCTATATATAGATATACATATAAATAAATACATGTATCAATCGAGATACGTCTCCGTAGCTATAGAGGGATGGATCTTCAAATATGCAAATATTTGTATATATAGGTGTATGACATATGCATTGATGTGTGCAGTGCGAGTGGACGGATCGACTCTGGTTCTTCTCAGAGCCGAGTGGACCTGGGGGAGGCTGCCAAGAAGACAGAGCTGCAGCATGCCGACGAGGACTCTGAATACTCCTACGGTGAGGAGTCGGAATCCGAGAGCTCCGAGTCCGAGTCTCCCGAACGTACCAAGCAGGCCGTGCCGGTTTGATCTTGCTCACGTTGGGGGGTCATCCAGTGGCTCACGTATAACCCGTGTCAGCTCGTTCTCTAGCCCCCTTGAGCCCCCGCGTGGGGGCATGGTGCATGCACGAACTCATTCATGCGATCGTGCTTGCGCACTCCATCTATCCATCTCCCGCATCGGCCCCTCGAGGCTGGCGGCTCTGCATCGACATCCCGTGTCGACAGCGACAAAGTTCAGGCCAGCGAGTGGGGCCAGATGCTCGGCGAGGCGTCCCGCGTGGCCGCGCTCCTGCAAGGGCTCGACGTGGGAGGGGCGGACTCCCTCGCCGCATGCTGTCTGCGTGCAGTGCTCAGCCTCACCACTCAGGCCCCCTATAGTTATCGCGATCTCGCGTGCGATAGCGCGCAACGCGTACCTCACTCACGAGAGAGTAATCTCGAGGCGTGGCGTTAATCACATCACTTTCGAGAGTGATGTGATTAACCCCACGCCTCCATCACAGTTTTAACATGCGTTTTCGCACAATTTCGGGCACTGGTGCCAGCACATATCGTCTCGGATCGCAGCACGATGGGGATTCGCAGATAGGTGTCGCAGTTGTTTGTGCAACGTCAGATCTGAAGGATGACATGCGCGTGTTTGGGAGGTGGTCGAGCACTCGTGGCTCAAGCCGTACGAGAAGCAGATCGTGGCCAGCCTCAAGAACCTCGAGGTGGTGAAGACTGCGATGACGATGTCACTGCAGGGCAAGTCAGCCCCTCAGTTGCTGCATCAACTTATGAAGTGGTCCAGCCTTTCGGTGTTCGTTTATCTTCGGGCGAAGTGTTGGGCCGTCTTGGTTGATCGTCATGTTTGCTTGAGGGGATGGGTTGGCGACGAGTGCGTCATGGTGTAGTCTGCGCTTCGGTCAAGCGTGATACGTGTATTCAGCGTGGATCAGTCTGACGATGAGGATGAGGAGGAGGATGAGGTGGATGACGAATTCGACCGAGGTCCAAGGATCCCGTGGACATGGCCGACATGGCCGAGAAGCTGGAGGAGGCCTCCTCGGTCGCTCCGCAATTGCATGATGGGGAGCAGGAGGATCCTCGAGGGCGGCAGGTCTCGCCCTGCACGGTCTGGCCCATCGCACGCTCGATCACAGTCGAGGGCGGCAGGAGGGGGAGGAGTCGAGGGGGGGGAGGAGTCGAGGAGCAGAAGATGCTTTGAAAAGTCTCGGTGCATGTGTGTCTGCGGTTGCACTGACATTTCGTTCTTGCATGGCGTCGTCAACGCTGCTCACATGGAATATCTGTAATGAATTCCAAGGCTTCCTTGGAGCATGCACGCGTGCCCTGCTAGGCCAAGCGCGTGTGGGGCTTGATCAGCCCCGTGATGGCCAGCGTCGCTGCGGCTGCAGCCGCTTTGCAGGGGAATGCTTAAGTGAGCGTGCAGCATATCATATATGTTGGCCTCTCGTTTTTGTTCTCGCTCCATTTGCTCGTTTGTTTCCACTTTGTTTCTCGTCGTTCGTGCCCTCTTTATCTCCATGCGCAGCGAAGTTAGCGAGCAAGTGCATGCGCTACACGGTGCTCGATGGTTACGGGGGTCGGGGACGATAGCAAAGGTACTAGCCTTGCAGTGCATTGTAGTTGCGCCGATGGGATCGGCGAACGTTTGCATTTCAGTGCATTGCAAGATAACCTATCATATTGATCGGGGGTATGGCAATTAACGTGCTGATGCTTGTAAGGGTGTGGTAACTCTTGCGTCGAGCTCGTAGGTCAGTGCAAGTTTCAGGGGCTGCAGAGACTTGCCCCACGCGAACGGAGGCGCCGCATGCGCTCAGGAGAAATAAGCTTTCTTGGTCATGCAGAGCGGCGCCGCCCCATCAGACGATCTCTCATTTCCAGGCGGCAGTTCAAGCGCTGACAGATTGCAGCTCGAGCTTCATCGAGTGCATTGGCTCCCGCGACATGTGCAAGTCTAGTAGAGAGAGAGAGAGAGAGAGAGAGAGAGAGAGAGAGAGAGAGAAACAAAAAAAAACCCAAACACACCAGAGATATAGAGAGCGAGACCCATGAATTCAAACCGATGGTTGGGAAACACAGGTCAGTTAAAGTTCTTCGCGCGTCGCGTGTCCTCACCAGCCCGTTCAGAATCCCTGCCCATGAGAGTTGACGAGAAAGAGAGAGAGACAGAGAGAGAGAGAGAGCTAAGAGAGAGAGATAGAGAGAGAGATAGAGAGAGAGGGAGATAGGGAACGCTGGGTATAGGAGCATGCCTCTGGATGTGATGTCTCTGTTTCAGTTCGCCGCCACTTCACGCGACCACAGTTTGCCTATATAGATGAGCTTCCTCGAGCTAGGGTTGGACAAGGGACACTGTTTGCCTGATCGAGCTCTCGAGTACGGATTGATTCGAACCGTCGGTGTATATGTTAGTTCAGTGATTCACATATACGTAGCCATCTCCATCGAGTGATCTCGCTTTCATTTTGGACGTGCCCGAACAAAACCAGTCTCGAAGAGATGGCGGGCCGCGCAGCAGGGGCAGAGGTTTCACTGGATGTTGCAATGCATGCAGAAGCTGCAGCGCCGCTCGAGGACGCATAATGGCCAGAACGAGGGGTCGCCTCATATGTTTGCATCGACTGTGCGCTGCCACTCCCGTCATGCCCCAGCATCGGCAACTGCACAATCGATGCTCTACACTGGATCGGCCCCTTGTTCAATGCCATTTCCCAGGACCCTGAAGGCATAGGGTTGCGGCACTACTTATTGAGCAGATGGGGCGAAGGGAAGCTGTCGGCGAAGGACCGATCGGGGTCGGATATGTTCGCCCCCGATTGGGGGGCTTAGGCCACGTGGCCGTTTATCTCATTGAAGGTCGGGGGTGGTTGTCGACCTGCGATTGTTCCATGTTAACATGGAACAATCGCTAACTAATTAGCAGTGTGCTTAAGCCCCCCGCGGTCGAGGGCGATTTGTATTCGACCTCGACCTTAGGATGTGTGCGTCATCGCGTACCACTGCAGCAGGTCTGGGTCCGCTGGCGTGGGCGATTTGGCTTTAGCGCCAACTTCGAGCCACCACACGGAGCATCTTCGGACAGCGATCGGCCTGAGTAGCCGTTCGTCGTTTTATTCTGCAGAGATCCCTACCTGGGACAAAGAGTCAGATACCAGGACGTACACCACGTTCCCATTCGCTCTTCCGCACGAAACCTTCCACGCCACCTACGTGGCCGCACCAGAAGGCTACGACCTCAGCCGTGTACCGTCAGAGGATATGCCGCCACACTTCGCCAACCACCAGGTGAGGCGAGAGAAGGGTGACCGTGCCTTCCCCATCGGATATTACTCCGATGGGGTACCCCACACCAAGAAAGATACATTTATAGCTTTTTACTGGTCAAATTTTGTGACTGCTGCCCACCACATTATATGCGTGGTGCGGAAAAGTGACTGTTGTGGGTGCGGCTGTCGGGGTATGTGCACTCTCGCGGCCGTGATGCGAGTGATCGTGTGGTCGCTGAATGTGATGGCCACGGGTGTGTTTCCAAGCACGGACCACCAGGACGCCCCCTTCACCGACCCCCTCCGCGCTGCACGACGCGGCTTCCCCTTGGCTGGGGGCCTGTGCGCAGCGCTCTGTGAGATGCGAGCTGACCTCTTAGAAATTCATCAGGCTTGCGGCTACCGTCGGTACGACAACGTTGAACATCCATGCTTTTGCTGCGATTGCCGCAAGGCAAATCTGCACGACTACCCCTTGGATATATCAACTTGGCCATGGAGGGAGAAGGACCCTTCGGAATATGCAGCCATGGTCCGCAGGTGTGTGAAGAAAGTAGTAGTAACAACCAGAGCTCAGTTCAAACGTTTGGTGGCGTGCTGCAGACACGACCCAGAGTTGTGGGGGTTCGGGACATGGCGTGCCTGTCCCGAACTGGGGTTGACGGCTGGATTTCGCTTGCTCCTCGAAGGAGTTGTCACGGACACCCATCGCCTAGACCAGGTGGAGGCGCTCATCCGCCCAGGCCACCCAGTCGAACTGTCATTCTGGCACGTCAACAACAGGGCTGGGCTTAACTTCGCTGCTCCCATCCTGGGTGTTGTGGGTTTCACTGTGAGCATGATATGTTTGGATATTATGCACATCCTCGACTTGGGCTGCACCCAAAGGCTCGTGGGCACAGTGTTTTGGATGCTGATTGAATCTAATTTTGCGGCGGCCACAGATCGTACACTTTTGGTGCGGAGGATGAAACATATGATCGAGCTGAGAAGGCGCATGAAAGCGTTTTACATCATGAACAGGGACGTGCTCGGACGCGGGAAGCAGTCTCGCATTTGGAAGCTCAGCCTGAAAATGTTAGGAGACGTGAACGAGCCCCTCCTTCACGCGAAGGCGGCCGAGACTCGCCACCTCGTGCCTTTACTTCCTGAGCTGTGTCGGGAGCATCCAGCTGCGTTTGCAGAGAATCCGCACATCCCCCTTGCCTGTCAAGCGTTGCACCGTTTCCACCAAATAGTAGATGCGGCCCCTCGCCAGATGCCTCCTGCCTCCCAAAAGGGAATGGAGAGAGAAATGGTCCATTTCTTGCATTACTGGAGAGCTGCAGGCGGGCACGTGGTGTTTAAACACCACATGTGCCTTCACTTAATTGGACAGGCAAGAATCCTGGGCAATCCCAGGTTCTACTGGACGTACTGCGACGAAGGCACAAACCGAGCGATGGCCGCGGTGGCGAAATCTGTACACCACGGGCCAACATTTTATTATGCCTTCTTGGAGAAGTGTTTGCCGCACTACTGCTAGCCAGCAAAAAGTGTGCGCATAGGGCGCGTGTGCGTGTCAATGCATGTGTGCGCGTGCACGCCTGTGTGTGTGTGTGTGCGTGTGTGCGTGCGTGTGTGTGTGTGTGTGTGTGTGCGTGTGCGTGTGCGTGTGTGCGTGTGCGTGTGTGCGTGTTGAGGACGGACAGAGGGAAGGATACGGGAAAGGGGAGACAGACTGACAGATAGCAGCATGAGTTCCGCAGTTGACGGTCTGAATTTGTTTGCTTGTTGTTTTTTGTGAGTCGGATTATACTGCAGAAAATGCAACAAACACGGTGCTGGGGCCGCTACCAAACGGGAGGTTCCCAACGGGGGCCTCTGCCTGCGGTGCTGTTTTTGGGACCTGGGCCCTGGGGCAACAACCGTCTTCCCTCGCATCCTCGCGGCCGCTTCGCCCGAGAAACGGGCTGTTCCGAGGCGAGACAGTCGAAGCGGGAGGCTGCGGGGACGTCTTCCCGTTGGAGCTCCTCGACATATATCCCGTCTTACCAGACCTCTCACTCCTCCTGTTCTCTCTGCCCCGTTGCCTGGCGCTTGTGTCCCAGTGCTCACGTCCGGTAGCCCCTCGTTTATGTACATGCATACGCACATGTATACATACATGTATGGATACATGCATGCATGCATACATATATGCATACATCCATGCATACATACATGCATCCACATGCATTTACATACATATATATATATATATGTATTACGTATCAGCATACATGCATACGCACATGCATCCATACCTGCGTACACACATACTCCATATAAGCACACATACACATGCATACACATACATACATACACACATATATGCATACATACATACATGCATGCATGTATTCAGTCATACCTACATGCGTACATACATACGTGCATAAATGCACACATACATACAAACGTACATACACACATGCACACCGACATGTACATGCATGCATACGTACACATACAAGCATGTAAGTATCCATGATTAGTTGTAGGTATGTACGGTGGTTTACTTCTGATGGTGGCCATCACCCCTTCGATCTGCCAGGCACCATTTGGATGCATCCCACGCCATATCGGTATCTTCTCCCCATCCCTTTGATCCCACCCACTTCTATCCCTTCTTCACCCGTATCCTTCCCCCCGAGGCCGATGGAGTTCCGAGGGGGGCGTCGATCGCTCCCTCGATCGACGTTCGGTGCCTGGCGGCCTCCTCTCACTCCTCCACACCGTTGCCCTATGAGGGGAGCTCTCGTGCAGGATCCGCCCGCGAGGACTCCGATTCCACCCCCCCCCCTGTCATCAAGCGAGGGCCTCGATCGAGAAGGCTGCGCTCGCATCCAGGGTCGGACTTCGCAGCCTTCCCCCTCCTCACTCTACCCCTCAGCCTCGATCCAGCTCGAGTTGTAAGGCAGACAGCCTCGGCAGGGCGCGGGGGGCCCTGCATGCCTCCATGCCTTGAAGCTCTCGCACGTCCCGCCCTGAGGGCCGAAAGGCTTGAGATCGATCGGTCGATCAATCGATCGACTGATCGAGATCGCTCGATCGATCGAGCAATCGGTCGATCGACCGATCGATCCACGCCTTTCGGCCACGCCTCCGTGCCCTGCCGGGGCTGGCCCCGCAGCGCTCGACTCCAGCCCCTCCCCGTCGCTCCAGAGCGGGCACGGCGACTCGAGGCTCATCCAGTGAGCGGCCCAGCCCTGATATATGTCAGGGCCGACGTGTATATATATATGTGGATCTATCTGTCCTTGCGCGGCAGCCCTGAGAATCTGTCAGGGCCGACATATTATCATATGTCCGCCGATCATCAGGTTAGCAGCTTGCTTCCTGCGCGGCAGCCCTGAGAATCTCAGGACCCGCCGATCATCAGGCTCGTGAGCCTGCAGCTTTCTTCCTCCCCCCCTCCATGCACATGCGCGCGCAAACATGTACACGCACGCACGCACACGCACACACACACACACAGGGAGACACACACACACGCACACACACGCACACACACGCACACACGCACACACACGCACGCACGCACGCACACACACACACAAACACACACACACACACACGCACACGCACACGCGCACATACGCACGCACACACGCTTTGTATGCGCGCGGGAGCCTGGGAGTCATGAGCCCCTCCTCCTCGAGGATCCTCTGAATCCCCGCTTCTCTTCGAACGATCGCTTGCGACCGTTCGCGCCGAGAGTTCCGGGTGCACCCGTACGCCGTGGGGCGCGCCGAGGCGGCACATGTCGATGGAAATGGTGCGTGCGCGTTTCCCTCTCGAGCTCTCGCTTGCATGTGGCGAGAAGGGCAGAGCATTCGTTCTGAAGCTGAGGCTGACACGATTTGCGACGAGTGGCCAGCGGCCGCGCTCTCGACGGAAAGGGCGTCTCATATATATATATATAATTATATATATATATATGTATATGTATATATAATGTTTATATATATCTCACGAACATAAACATATATTAATATAAGATGTGTATGTGCCTCTCTCGTCCCTCGATCCTGAAATTTTGAAGGGCCCCCGCGGCACGCGATTCAGCGGCGCAGGGGGCACGGGCTGAAAGGCCTGCACGCCATATGCACGGCGAGCCACACGTCGGATGAAAAGTGCGGGCGTCATATGTATATACACATATATATATGTATGTATGTGTGTATATATATATATATAGAGAGAGAGAGAGAGAGAGAGAGAGAGAGAACGAGAGGGAGAGAGAGAGAGAGAAACATCCTCTGCATACCCCTCTCCAACTCTCCATCCTGACGCTGCAGAACGCGGCGTCGGCGCGTGAGCGGCATCATGCTGCCGTGTACTATTGCACGTACGTGCTGCAGAAAAGAACGGAAAATGAATGGGCCGCTGCGGGCCCGTCTCCGCCCCTCCCCCCTGAGCAGAATCCCCTCGAGTACGGCCTCGAAATCCTGCGTACGTGCAGCTTAACGGCCACAATTAACTGCGAACCATAAAATTCCAGCGGCCAGCTGCGAACTGTAAGATTCCAACTATAAACTGCGAGCCGTGGATTTCGATATCGTGGCGTTGCAATTTTTTTTTTTGAAAAATTGCTTCCATCACCATGTTGCAATTTTTTTTTAGCCCTCTTGGGGACGTTGCATTTTTTTTGCAACGCCAAGATGTCAGGGCTATAGGACCCCCTCGCGCCGGGAAGCCATTACGTCGGGGGTCTGGGCTGCCTCTCCGCCTCGCCCTCCCCGCTCCTTATAGGACCCCCCCGCGCCGGGAAGCCATCGCGACGGGAGGTCTTCCGCCCTTAATTTTTCGGCCCCTGCAGAGGGCGCCCTCGCCCGGCCCCCCCGGCGGCCGTCAAGGGACGACCCATGGGGGATGGGGTCCAGACCTCTGGGCGTCGACGCTGCGCAGGAAGCACGACGTCGGGGGTCTGGGCCCCTCCTACGCCGAGAGGGCCCACCGGCGGGAGGCGGCCTCGCGAGGCTGGCCGCCGGGGCAAGCGACCGGCCAGGTGGTCTCGGGCTGCTGCTGCTCCTCCTGCTCCCGCCCCCCCTCTTCTGGAAGCCTCCGGACGCCGGTGCGACTCGTGGGGGGCCTCGGAAACCCGCGCGACTTCGTGCGGGGGGCGCCTCCGGGAGCCGCCATGGAACACGCGTGCGCCCGCCGAAGGCACCGCCGCACCACCGCCCTGCCCGGCCCGGGAGGGCCTTGGCCCGGGTGACGGTCCCAGAGATCCGACGTCGTGATTTTTTCGATACGGGGTCCCGAAGTCTCGACCCATTCCCCGGGACCGGTTTCTCATCCCGAGTCGTTTTTTGACGGTCCTGGGGCCCGGCGAAGGCCCCTCGAGGCTCTACGTTTCAATTCCCGCTTCGGCTCCGCGTGTCGCTTCGACAGTCCTGGCCCGCCGCACCTCGGCGCAGCGCGCGGCCCGCTTCCGACGCCCCAGGCGTCGACGCCCCGAGCTCTCTCCGGCCTCCCGCCGCGGGGGGCGGAGCCCTCGCGCGGTGCGCTCGCGCGAGGCATGTGGCAACAGTTCCACCCGCGATGTGGCCTCGCGATGTGCGCTCGCGCGCCGCTGCGGCCACCCGCTGAGCAACAGTTCCTGACCGCAGGTGCCTCCTGGGTATATATGCCCGCGGTGCTGTTCTGGCCCGAGCTGCGCGAGCGGAGCTGCCCTCGCCCCGCCCTCGGCCGGGCCCGCAGGCATCCGACGACGTGCTCTTTCGGTGCGCGGCCGGGTCCCGACCGCTGCCCCCCCGGGGAGCAGTTGTCCGCCCCGGGCCCGCTTCAGATGGCCTCGGGGCCCGATAGCGGCCCCCACGGGGCCGAGAACATGAGGACCGGCGGCGGCCGCGGGGCCGAACAGCTCACATCGTCCGACATCTGGCATCTCGGCACCCGGGCCAGCATGCTCGTCTCGGTGGTGGCGTGCAGCGGGCGCGAGCTCGCGGCCGTGGAGGCCTCGGGGGGAGCTCTTTCCCTCGGGCACCCGATCGCCCACCCCAACGATCTCATCACAGAGGTTCTCCTCCCTCCTCCCTTCCCCTCCTCCTCCTCCTCCTCCTCCTCCTCCTCCTCCTCCTCCCCCTCCTCCTATTTCTCCTCCTCCTCCTCCTCCTCCTCCTCCTTGTAATCCTCCTCCCTCCTCCCTCCTCCCTCCTCCTTCCTCCGTCCTCCCTCCTCCCTCCTCCCTTCTCCTTCCTCCCTCCTCCTCCTCCTCCTCCTCCTCCTCCTCCTCCTCCTCCTCTCCTGCTCCTCCCTCCCTCCCTCCCTCCCCTCCCTCCCTCCCTTCCCTCCCCTCCCTCCTCCTCCTCCCCTCTTCCTCTTCCTCCTCCTCCTCCTCCTCCTCCTCCTCCTCCTCATCCTCATCCTTATCCTCATCCCTCATCCTCATCCCCATCCCTCCTCCTCCTCACCTCCTCCTCCCTCCTCCTCCTCCTCCTCCTCCTCCTCCTCCTCCTCCTCCTCCTCCTCCTCCTCCTCCTCCTCCTCCTCCTCCTCCTCCTCCTCCTCCTCCTCCTCCTCCTCCTCCTCCTCCTCTTTCTCGGGGCCCCCCTTGGCGGCGCCCCCGGCGCCGCCCCTGGCTTTCTCCGCGCGCCGGGGAGGGGGGGCCAGCGCCGAGCCGAGCAATCCGCGCGGACCTCCGGAGGTTTATGCCGATGCCGATTGTGTTCATGACCGCATCGGGAGCTTCTCGGAGATAGTTTTGGGGCATCCTGGGGACTGTTTTGGGGGACTCCTGGGAGCCTCTCAGGGGCTCCGGGGGGCTTCTCAGGGGCCTCTCAGGGGCCTCCTGGGGGGCCTCTTGGAGCCCTCTTGGTGCCCTCTTGGGGCCTCCTGGGGGCCTCTTTGGCGGCGGGGCTTCCTGGGGACCTCTTGAGGCGGAAGGTTTGATTTTTCGGTTCGTCCCATAACTTGGGGGCCTCCTGCTGGCCTCTTGGGTCGTCGGGGAGCGATTTGTGGGGCCTCTTGGGCCGTCTTGGAGCGTCGGAAAGCCGAAACGGCGAGAGCGCCCCAAACCGTCGGATGCTTGCCTCTTGGGGCCCTCCCGGGACGCCTCGTGGAGCACTCTTGGGGCGTCTTGGGGGCCACGTGGCCGTCTTGAGGCCATCTTGGGCGTACTGGGGCCTCCTGGGGCCGCCTCGAGGGCCCCTGGGGTCGCCTCGAGGGCCTTCTGGGGCCGCCTCGAGGGCCCCTGGGGCCCCCTGTGGGCCCGAAGAGAAAGTCACGCACCTCCCCGGGCCCGGCGACGGGCCCTGGGAGGTGCGAGAATTGGGGGCCGGGGCCCCAAATCTTAAGTCGGGCCTGCCCCTCGGCAGAAGGAAGGTTCCCGAATGGGGACGACTGTTCCCAGACATGCTCGCGTCGTAAAAAGAAAAAAAAACAAGTCAGGACGACAGGTTTTGGGCTATCTTCGGCCCCGGGGGTCCTCGCCGGACCTCGGGACCGTCAAAACACGACTCAGGATAAGAAGCTGGTCCCGGGGAAAGGGACGGGACTTCCAGGGACGCCGTCCTGAAAAAATCGGGACGTCGCATGTCTGGGTTTGGACCCTTTTCGGTATTTTTTTTGTGTATTTTGGGTGGTCTGTTTGATTTTCGTCCAAGGTCCGCCTGTAGGGGGCCCGGGCCCCTAACAGAGACTCCCCAGAGGCTGACACCATCACCAATATCGGCGGTGTGCCTCCACCAGGGGGAAGACGATCCCGATCTCGGCGATGGTGGCAATGATTCTGGTTTCCAGGGTAGCCGAGATCGTACCACCAACACCGAAGTCTAGGATCATCCTCCCCCTGTGGAGGCAGACCCCCTGTGTTGGTGTTGGTGCCCATGTCCAGGCCTCCAATGGAGATTCGGCACAGGGCCCGAGGGCGCGCCCACTGCGTGCCCAGGGCAGGGTGGCGGATAGGCCAGGGAGGAGCGGGAGGAGGAGCGGGAAGGGGGGCGGCGCGGGCGGGGGCGATCCGCGCCTGGCCCCTGCAGGCGTCTCGCTGCCTGCGGTGCGCAGGGCGCCGGGCTTGAGTCGGGCCTTCCCCTCTGCAGGAGGGATATTCAAAAGTAGTCACAACATAGTCTGGGTACGATGTTTCGAGTTTGTTTTTTTGGGGGGGAAGCATTTGAGATAACTGGGACCATTTTCGGGCAATTTCCGGGTATCTCAAAAACGGTCGAGGTCAAAACATAGTCGGGCATTGTGGGATAATTCGTTATGTTTCGTCCTGAATCCGCCTGTAGGGGGGACAGGCCCGACCTGACGCTGGGCGCACGAGGCGCACGGTGGCCGCCGCCGTGTGGCAGGCAACGGGCCGCCCCCCCGAGCTCGGCCGCGGCGGCCGGCACGCTCGGGCGTGGCCGGGGCACCCGGCACGGGCCGCACTCGCGCCCGTCGGGGGTCAATGCAAACGGGGCTCAGCCAGGGCACTGGATCCTGCAGGATCCTGCGACGAGCCCCTCTGGCTGACCCGGGTTAGCGAGGCGCTCGTGGCCGCGAGGCGGCCGCGCACATGGGCTGGCCCAGGTCTGCGAAGACCTGCGTTGCAGGTTTTGTTCCTGCATTGCAGTTTTTTGGTTTCCTGCTAACCCGGGTCTGGATTGACCCGGGTCAGAAGATCCCCGAGCACGGTACAGGCGCGCTCCGAGGTGCGCACGGCGCAGGCCGGCCTCCGCGCGGGAAGGGCGCCAGCACGCCATGGTCGAGTGAGGTCGAGCATCCAGTGTCTCGGCGTGCATGCTGGCCCAGCGCCGCCGGCTCCGGGCAGCCTGAGCTGCGCGGCGCCGGCGAGGGGCGGGGAGAGGGGCCGAGAGGGATTTGCGCCCCCCACTTGCCCCTTCGCCTCTGCGCCCCTGCGCGCCTTTGCGCGCGCCTCTGCGCGCCCCCGCGTGCGTCTGCGGTGCCCTTGCGCGCGATATTGCGCGCGCCTCTGCGGGCCTGCGCGCGCCTCCTCTGCGCGAGCCTCTGCGCGCCTGCGCGCGTCTGCTCTGTGCGCCTCTGCGCGCCTCGGCGCGCGTCTGCTGCGCGTGTGCTGCGCGCTTGCGCACCCCCGCGCGCGCGCGCCTGCGCTCGCCTCTGCACGCAACTGTGCGCGCCCAGGCTGCGCCCAGGCTGCACTCGCGTCTGCGCTGGCCTCTGCGCTTGCCTCTGCGCGCCTGCCTGCGCGCGCTTCCTCGGCGTGTTTCCTCTGCGCGCCTCCGCGCGCGTCTGTGGGGTGCTGCAGGTGGGCGGGGGGTGGGGGCAGAGGCCCTGGCGCGGGCGGTCCTTGCAGCGGCGGCCAAAGCTGGCCGCCGATCGGCGGGCCCACCGCGGCCGGGGCTCCCCGCCGGGGAGGGGGGCCTGAGGAGGGCAGGCCAGGGGCGACAGCCTCAGGAGAAGGGGGGCAGCATCGACCCCCACCGACAGCTCGCCCCCGCCCAGGAGCGCGCGGATCTGCCTTGGGAAGCCGAATTCGCCGATCTATCGGCGATGCACCGCCGACGAGCCAGTGCCGCGCCAACTCGGGCCTCCAGCGGCCGCGCGGGGCGATCCGGGGAGCCCCTGGGAGGCTTTCGGCGGGGCGCGGCCGCCGGAAGGCGCCCCGAGGCTGGGCAGCTGCCGGGCGCGAAGGAAAGACGGGAGAGAAGGAGGCCCCTCGGCGCGGGGGGGGGGCCGGGTCTCGGCCCCGCCGGGGGCCTGCCTCGGTGTGCCTGGCCGCTCCGGGCTGCGCGGGGCCGGCTGCTCGGCGTCCGCGCTTCCACGAGCACGGCGCGGGGGGCAGGGCGAGGCGGCGCGGGCGAAGAGAGAGAGAGGGCGGAAGAGGACGGCGAGGAGACGGCGGAGGAGGAGGAGGAGGAGGAGGCGGAGGAGGAGGAGGAGGGAAACTCTCCCGGGAAGGGAGGCCGACCCGTCGTGGCAGCTGGGCGACCTCCTCGCGGCGGTCCCCGAGCAGGAGGAGGCGGCCGGCCATAAACTACGCATCCTGTTCGGTGGGGCGGAGCTGTGCGGCGCCGCGACGCTGGGCGAGATCGGGGTCCAGGGCGGCAGCGAGCTGACCCTCGTGGTCACCAGGAGGCGCCCCATAGTGGCGTGCGACGGGGCGGTGGCGAAGGTCTGGGACGCCGACTCCGGGGAGTGCCTGCGCACCCTGGAGGGCCACGAGGGCGACGTGAGGTCCGCCGTGTTCTCGGCGGACGGGCAGCGGGTGCTGACCGCCGCGGAGGACGAGACGGCGAAGATCTGGGCCGCGGACTCCGGGGCGTGCCTGCGCACCCTGGAGGGCCACCGTTTCCCCGTGCTGTCCGCCGTGTTCTCGGGGGACGGGCAGCGGGTGCTGACCGCCTCGCAGGACGGGACGGCGAAGATCTGGGCCGCGGACTCCGGGGCGTGCCTGCGGACGCTGAGGGGCCACCAACACTATGTGAATTCCGCCGTGTTCTCGGAGGACGGGCAGCGGGTGCTGACCGCCTCGGACGACGAGACGGCGAAGATCTGGGCCGCGGACTCTGGGCAGTGCCTGCGGACGCTGGAGGGCCACCAACACTACGTGAATTCCGCCGTGTTCTCGGCGGACGGGCAGCGGGTGCTCACGGCCTCGGAGGACGAGACGGCGAAGATCTGGGACGCCGACTCCGGGGAGTGCCTGCGCACGCTGGAGGGCCAAGAGGGCCTCGTGCTGTCCGCCGTGTTCTCGGCGGACGGGCAGCGGGTGCTGACCGCCTCGGAGGACGGGACGGCGAAGATCTGGGCCGCGGACTCCGGGGTGTGCCTGCGCACGCTGGCAGGCCACGAGGGCGACGTGAGGTCCGCCGTGTTCTCAGGGGACGGGCAGCGGGTGCTGACCGCCTCGGACGACGAGACGGCGAAGGTCTGGGACGCGGACTCCGGGGAGTGCCTGCGGACGCTGGAGGGCGCCGGGTACAGGGCCTGCTTCGCGCCGTGATCGCCCGAGGGGCTGGCGGCGCGGAGCGGGGGCGCCGGCGGAGGCCCCTCCCCTCCGCCCGCCCTCCCTCTCCCTTTCCCATCCCTGCTCCCCCTCCGAGATGCCCCTAGCGCGGCCCTTCTTCCCCCTCCCTTTCCCACCCCAGCTTCCCCCCGCCAAGATGCCCCTCTCCCTCCCTTGGCCCCCCCCTCCCAGAGCCCTCCCCCTCCCAGAGCCCCTACCTCCCATGCCCCCCCCTTCCATGCCCCCCCACTTCCTTGTTCCCTCCCTCCCCTGGCAGTCCCTGCAGGACAGGGCTGGGGGCGGGGTCGCCCCGCTCGGAATCCCCTCCTCCGCCTTCCCCGGGCCCTCCTGGTCCTCCCAACCCGTCCGCTTTGGTTCCTGCTGCTGTTGTTCGTCATCCTCCCTGTCCTCCCGCTCATCTTCCCCGCACACCCACCAACTCCTCTTCCTCCTGTGGCGCGCAGCTTCCCGTTTCTTGATTGCGCATAACACGAAAGGGTCTTTCTGTGGGCGTCGCAGGTCAGCTATGACGCGCGTCCGCGGATGGAGGAAGATCAGCGCCATGGGAAGGCATGGGAGGGAGAGACAGGATGTCAGATGAGGCGCGAGCGCACCTCGCTTGGCCCTTCCTCCCCTCTCCCTGTCCCGCCCCTGCTTCCCCCCCAAGCTGCCCCTCTCCCTCCCTTCGCCCCCTCCCCCCCCCCACAGCCCTCCACCTCCCATGCCTCCCCAGACATGCGACCTCCTGATTTTTTCCGGGGCGGCGTCCCCGGCCGGAAGTCCCGACCCTTTCCCCGAGACCGGCTTTTCGTCCCGAGTCGGTTTTGGACGGCCCCGAGGCCCAGCGAGGGCCCCGAGAGGCCGAACACGACGAAATGCCTCCGCCTCGATGTTTTCCAGACGCCCGACGTCCGGCTCCCTCCCCGGCGTGCACACCCTCCCCCTCCGGCCCCTCCCGGCTCCGCGCTCCAGGGCGGGGCTCTCGGGCACGCCCCTGGGCCGCCGCGGGGCGGGGCCGCCCTCGCTCCCTCGATCCCAGTCGGGCCTGTCCAAAGATAGTCTGGGGACGATTTTATTTCTTGTAAAAAGGAATGAAATGTTTGGGAGTCTTTTTACATGTTTCGCCCCAAATCCCCCTGTAGGGGGACAGGCCCGACCTAAGCCTCGATCCCTTCCCCCCCCTCGCGCGAGCTGCGGGCCGGCACCGCCTCGCGCGCTATTAACGCGCATCTTTTGACAAAGGGCCGACCCTCGTTTTGCGACCCAGGGATCCAACGCGTTGACAAGAATCGAGACGAAGGTTTTTCCCATTTCTCGGCCTCGAGGGGCTTTCGCCTGGCCCCAGGATCGTCAAAAAACGACTCAGGACGAGAAGCCGGTTCCGGGGAATGGGTCGAGACTTCTGGGGACCCCGTATGGAAAAAATCACGACATCGGATCTCTGGGTTACCAGCTTGGCCCTTCCTCTCTCTCCCTTTCCCGCCCGTGCTTCCTCCCCCAGGTTGCCCCGACTGCGGTGGGGGCGTCGGTTAAGGAACGCGCCCAGGATGCGGCAGACCCTGACGGCTTCCTTGTCTGATGACGGCGGCGGTGAGATCCATGGCCAAGCCGCGCTTGGAATCCCACTGGCTTCCAGACCCTGGATTCCTTATCTAGGGGCTCCTTGTCCACTGCCCTCACCGTATCCCAGACCTGCGACGTCCTGATTTTGTTCCGGCCGGCGCCCCCGGAAGTCCCGACCCTTTCCCCGGGGCCGGCCTGTCATCCCGAGTGGCTTCTTGACGGCCCAAGGGGCCCGGCGAGGGCCCCTCGAGGCCGAGATTTGCTGGGGCACCGGGGAGGGCAAGTTGCCCGCCCCGGATCTCCAGCGAGCTGAGAAGCCCGGGGCCCAAGAGACGGGGGCCAATGCGAACGGGGGTCAGCCAGAGCGCCCTCCTTGGACCTCCCAGCGAGACGGGGGTCAATGCAAGCGGGATCGCGTCGTAACAAAAATCAGGACGACAGTTTTTCGCAGTTTTCGGCCCCTGGGGGGCCCGCGCCAGTCCCCAGGATCGTCAAATAACGATTCAGGATGAAAAACCGGTCCTGGGGAAAGGGTCTGGATTTCCGGGGACGCCGTCCTGAAAAAATCAGGACGTCGCATGTCCGGGAATGCAAACGGGGGTCGGCCAGAGCACCCGATTTTCAGGATCTTGCAGGGCCAGGATCGCATTGACCTGGGCTTGGGTGCAGGATCCTGCAGGGTCCTTCGCATTGACCCGGGTTTGGGTACAGGATCTTGCAGGATCTTGCAAGGCCTGGCTGACCCGGGTCTGGATTGACCCGGGCCAGAAGCTCCCTGAGAAGCTCAAGGCGATTTGTTTTTGTTGTTCTGTTGTTTCCTTTTCGTTTTGTATATAAGGGACCGTTTCCCCAGGACCGGCCCCTCACCTTGAGCCGTTTTTTGGCGGCCCCGGGGCCTGGCGAGGGCCTCTTGAGGCCGTGACCGACGAAAAACTTCTGTCCTGATTTTTTCACGACGCGATCACGTCCCCAGAGATCCGATGTCGTTTTTTTTTTTTCAGGACGGCGTCCCCAGAAGTCTCGACCCATTCCCCGGGGCCCGTTTCTCATCCCGAGTCGTTTTTGGATGGTCCCGGGGCCCATTGAGGGCCCCTCGAGGCCGAACAATTTGACAAACCTCCGTCTCGATTTTTTCAAAGACCTCCGTCCTGGGATCACACGCTTTGTCATCGCAAAAAAAAAAACGCTTTCGGCCCCCGGGGGGAACGGCCTGGGACGGGGAATGGCCTGGGACGAGGAGCGGCCCGGGGCGACGAGGCTGGCCCTGGGGCAGGGGCCGGTATCTCTCCGGGGCCCCCCCGCATCGACAGGGGCCGCGCGTCGGACCTCTGGGGTTCTTCGGCCCTGGCCTCGCGCGCCCCACGCTGCCTCCCAGACCCCCTCGAGTGATGAAAACATCAGGACGGGAGGTTTCTCCTAAATTGTCAACCTCGGGGGGCCTCCGCCGGGCCCCGGGAGCGTCCACAAAACGACTCGGGATGCAGAGCCGGCCATGGGGGAAGGGTCGACGGAAAGGAAAAAATCCTTGCGTCGGGGGTCGACGGAAAGGAAGACTTCCTGGGGCTGCCTCTCCGCCTCGCCCTCCCCGCTCCTTATGGACCCCCCCGCGCTGCGAAGCCATCGCGACGGGAGGTCTCCCGCCCTTTTTTCGGCCCCTGCAGAGGGCGCCCTCGCCCGGCCCCCGGCGGCCGTCAAGGGACGACCCATGGGATGCAGAGCCCGGCCCCGGGGGGAGGGGGTCCAGACCTCTGGGCGTATCGACGCTGCGCAGGAAGCACGACGTTGCGGGGGTCTGGGCCCCTCCCACGCCGATAGGGCCCATGGCGGGAGGCGGCCTCGGGGCTGGCCGCCGGGGCAAGCGACCGGCCAGGTGGTCTCGGACTGCTGCTGCTCCTCCTGCTCCCGCCCCCCCTCTTTTGGAAGCCTCCGGACGCCGGTGAGACTCGTGGGGGGCCTCGGAAACACTTCGCGCGGGGGGCGCCTCCGGGAGCCGCCATGGAACACGCGTGCGCCCGCCGAAGGCACCGCCGCACCACCGCCCTGCCCGGGCCCGGGAGGGCCTTGGCCCGGGTGACGGTCCCAGAGATCCGACGTCGTGTTTTTTTCGATGCGGGGTCCCCAGAAGTACTTCTCGACCCATTCCCCGGGGCCGGTTTCTCATCCCGAGTCGTTTTTTGACGGTCCCGGGGCCCGGCAAAGGCCCCCCTCGAGGCCCTCAATATACGTTGGATCCACGTTTCAATACCAGCTTCGGCTCCGCGTGTCGCTTCGACAGTCCTGGCCCGCCGCACCTCGGCGCAGCGCGCGGCCCGCTTCCGACGCCCCAGGCGTCGACGCCCCGAGCTCTCTCCGGCCTCCCGCCGCGGGGGGGCGGAGCCCTCGCGCTGTGCGCTCGCGCGAGGCATGTGGCGCGACGCCAGCGCCGCCGCGGCCACCCGCTGAGCAATAGTTCCTGACCGCAGGTGCCTCCTGGATATGGCGGCGTTTTCAAACTTCCGTGTCCTGCCATCCCGTTTGCCGTCAATGCCACCGTCCGTTGGCATTCATCTCAAGCTCTTTTTTCCCGCGGTGCTGTTCTGGCCCGAGCTGCGCGAGCGGAGCTGCCCTCGCCCCGCCTTCGGCCGGGCCCGCAGGCATCCGACGACGTGCTCTTTCGGTGCGCGGCCGGGTCCCGACCGCTGCCCCCCCGGGGAGCAGTTGTCCGCCCCGGGCACGCTTCTGATGGCCCCGGGGCCCGATAGCGGCCCCCACGGGGCCGAGAACATGAGGACCGGCGGCGGCCGCGGGGCCGAACAGCTCACATCGTCCGACATCTGGCATCTCGGCACCCGGGCCAGCATGCTCGTCTCGGTGGTGGCGTGCAGCGGGCGCGAGCTCGCGGCCGTGGAGGCCTCGGAGGGAGCTCTTCCCCTCGGGCACCCGATCGCCCACCCCCCCACGATCTCATCACAAAGGTTCTCCTCCCTCCTCCCTCCTCCCTCCTCCCTCCTCCTCCTCCTCCTCCTCCGCCTCCTCCTCCTCCTCCTCCTCCTCCTCCTCCTCCTATTTCTCCTCCTATTGCTCCTCCTCCTCCTTCCTCCGTCCTCCCTCCTCCCTCCTCCCTTCTCCTTCCTCCCTCCTCCTCCTCCTCCTCTTCCTCCTCCTCCTCCCCTCCTCCTTCTCCTGCTCCTCACTCCCTCCCTCCCTCCCTCCCTCCCTCCCTCCCTCCCTCCCTCCCTCCTCCCTCCCCCTCCTCCTCCGTCCTCCTCCTCCTCCTCCTCCTACTCCTCCTCCTCCTCCTCATCCTCCTCCCTCCTCATCCTCATCCTCGTCTCATCCTCATCCTCATCCCAATCCTCGCCTCATCCTCATCCCCACCCTCTCCTCCTCCTCCTCCTCCTCTCCTCCTCCTCCTCCCCCTCCCCCTCCCCCTCCTGCCTCCTCTTCTCCTCCTC